CCGCCTCCGGACGTCAGAAACACACCTGTAGGGCTTGATATTCCCTGCCGAGGGGCGACTGGTTTTTGAAAACTGGCCTTCTGGCTTTAAGTTGTCCCATGCACATTTAACAAATCAACCAACATCCAAAATGTCAACATTTTTTGAAAGTCTCCTTATATTGTCTACCTTATGCTGCATCTATAATGACATTTAAACATTAGTAGCCACTCACACATAATTTCTCGAGCCATCCAAGATTTCTTATGTGATTCCTAATCCACTGGCAAGCTTTTTATATCGCAGCTTTTAAAGGCGCGTGGACGTGCTGGTTTTCAGATCACTAAAGGCTTTTCTTTATCACAAATCATATTGGAACACAATATCAACCAACTTTTCTTTGAATTGCTGCACATCCAAGGGATTATCCTCGGCAGATCCCCCACATATGATTGAATTTTGAATGTCACGTTAAGGAGCGGTCTAGAGTTTCGTATCCGCTTGTGAGAGGTTTTTGTTGATTTGTTGAAACTTTTGTTCAAAAACATATTGTGATTGTCCGTTAACGAGAGGTCCGCGTCCGCTTAGGAGAGGTGTTGACAACATTAACAAGGAAAAAAGTCTCCGCGTCCGGTTATTAAAGTCTCCCGTTATTAGAGTGGAGTTTTTTCTCAAAACGCAATGGTACCCTAACTTTTGTCCGGTTATGAGAGGTGTCCACAAGAAGAGGTTAGACTGTATGTACATATTGTACATATGTATATGTGTTTGTTGCTTGCACCTTCGACATAAACAAACTGATATGAGAACAACAATCTGAAAGAATAATTTACAAATCCGCTACAACAACAACAATAATAATAATAATAATGATAATAGTTTACAAACATTTGTACATATATATACATACATATGTACAGAGTAATTTGTTTGCTAATGTAGGTCTGTGTGTATGTATTTATATAATTATGAAAATATTCGCTAATAAACATTATGGTATACAAACATACTACAGCTATCCATACATACTTACTTACACATGGACAAATATATCAGTACCAGCCACACCATGTGCTTTTTGAATTATTATTTTTTTTTAATTTTGCTTTATATGCATGTATGTACATAAATTCCGAAACTGCGCCTAAACAAGTTCAATTATAACAACAAAACATACAAAATGACAAAATCATATGGTTTGTCATACTGGTAATGATATAACACGAAGAGCAAAAATCAGCAATGTAGGAGAGCGGAACTTGAAAAAAAAAATCAAATTAAAAAATACATATTTACATATAAACAATATGTATGTATATACATAAATATGATATGTAAACATATATATAATAAATATATATGTATATATGTATCAATATTCAAATATTTCTATACTCGTTATACAAGTTGTTAACATATTTACGGAAATACATGATATACATATATGTACATATGTAACTACAAAGACCTCTACCATATCCATTAATACGATACATACAAGCATACATATACAATTTTCATGTTTAGCCGGCACAATTTTGTTGTTAAGAATATGCCAACAAAAGAAAATTCAAACAAAAATAGATTTTTCTGGTAAATTTCCAATAGGCGATAGTTTGAGAGCCAATGTTGCTAAGCGCTATAAAATCTAAATTATATTTATACGTTCAAACATTTCTATACAAATCTATTGCTATATACATGCATATATGTATGTAAGTTAACTTAATTACTGTTAAGTTATAGAAAAAAAATAATTTTTTCTGTGCTTTCAGCACATGTTACTTTATTGAATTCTAACTTAGGACTGAATTACAATTTTTACTTCCTTAACATTAAGCATCTGTATCACGTTGCGGGCACAGGTGACAGTTTACGGTGTTGGCGAAATGGTTGCGCGTGTACGGGCTATATGATACGTTGATCCGGCGCAGCAGACATGGCATCAGCATTTTACCTGTATTGTTGCTGTGGGTGCGTTTCCGTACCGTGGGAAACATATGTTTGGAGTTTTTAAATGTTAGCAGCGTTAACTTGTATATGTTTTTCACTATTTCTTCTTGCACGCTCTTTTCTTTAATTTTTTACCTTTTCTCTCTCTCGCTCTCTCGTTGCCTACTTTCGTCAACAACTGCTCACATGGCACACACACGCGCGCACTTTTGCAAAGAAAGCAAACAAAAAAAAAATTAATAAAAATTAAGAAAACACGTGGTGGTTACCGCCAGCTACTTGACAGCAGTTTGGTGAGCTATCACTAGCAATGCCAGCGACTTGGAAATCATTTCGCCACAACGCGAAGTAGCTGAAAGATGTGTGCTGTGAGCAAAACATTCAAATTTAATAATAAGAAAGCGTGGCGAAGAGTTATTTAGTGCAAAGCAGCAGCAGCAACAAAAGCAATTGGATGATATGATATAGTGAGTGTTGTATGGTGAGCAATGATGAAATTCTGAAAATTTTTTTTTTTATAATTATAATTAATAATTCACTGATTTATGAGTAAAGTAAAACGCGAGAAATGTGCTTATTTTAATACCTTAAAACGTTAAATTGCAACACATGTGCTTCATAACAGGCGTAGTGCCTAAAAATAGGCAACACTTTTTAATGAACGCCGGTTTTGGCAACTACCGATCGCACAAATGGTGATGGGTATGGGAGAAAAATAAAAATAAATATTAATGAATGAAAAGTAACACGGTTTTAATAAAGATTTTTAATTCTTATTTAATAAAAAAAATTTAAATTATTTTCATTATTCACGCAGAGAAGTTTTCAAAAAAATTTTAATTTTTATTTATTAACATTTTGTATTTCATTTTTGCGCTCTTTCATTTGAATATACATATGTACATATTTATATGAAAATTGAGATTTAAATGGACTAAGTAATGTAAAATTGTATGAACTTTTGAAGCGTGTAAGATGTTAAATATTTTTTTGTTTGAAAAACTGTTGCTATGTACCCACTCTCTTGATGATATTTACATACATGTAAATATACTTAATATGTATAAATAATACGTATTACATACATATGTGTATGTATGTGCGGATATATATGAAAGAAAAATCTCTTTGAAGTATTTCATTAAAACATTTTTTTATGCACTCTATTAGAATTATACAAAAAAGTTAATCGAATTCAACTGCAAAAACTATTCAAAAGAGGTATTTTTGAATTTATAAATATTATGTGAGGAAAACGGAAAGGAACTAGTTTTAACAGACATATTTATGAGATTTTACAATTTAAACAGAATTTAAAAGTATATTTATTTACTTTGAAAGAAATATGCAAATAAAAGTAATCAAAAATATTTTGTAATAAAAATATTTTTTATGTGTGCACATACAAACATAAAAAAACATATAAAATAAATAACGGAATAAATGTGTAATTGGAAACATATAGACAAATATTTTAAATTAAAAAGATATTTTAATATTTCCAAAAAAAACTTTAAACATTTATAGGTATCTACATATGCATATATATGTATATAACATTGCATCAATTTAAAAAATTAAATAAATTTAATTAGATTTATAATTATATATAATTAAAAAAAAAAGAAAAACATATTTATTAAATAACTTATTAAGAAATAATTTAAAAAGTTTCAATCACAACAGAAAATTTAAAAATATATACATACGTATTCGTATATTTGCTTTTGGAAAAAATATATATTTATTTAGTGAAAAAAAAAATATTTTTATACACCGTAAGATTCATAATACTGCAGATAAAAATTAAGAAATTTATATATAAACAAAAATTATTAAAATAATTAAACAATAATCATAATTAAATAATAAAAAAAATGTTTATAATAATTATAACATAATAATAATAATAATGGAGTATTAAATAAAATAACAAAAAAAGGTAACAATAATAAATATAAAATAAAAACAATAATAAAAAACAAATTAATAATAATAAATTAAGAATTTTAATAACATGATGTTAATAAAATAATAATAAAAATATATTAATAATAATAATACCAAAATAATAATAATATTAATTATAACAAAATAACAAAGTAATATTAATAACATTATAATAATAATAACAAAAAAGTTATGGAAAATTAATTTGAAATAAAAAATTAAGTTGAATTTTCTAATTGCGGTCGGTCCTCGGCAGGGAATGTCAACTCCTCCGATTGTATTTCGGACATGAAATGAAAAGTTCCTCATAAATAAAATCAGTCGTTCTTAGTCGGCTTAGCATAAACTATATTAATAAAATTATAATAACAATAAACAAAAATTAAAAATTATTAAAATAATAACAAATTAATAATAATAATCATAATAAATATATAATATATAATAAAATAATACCAATAATAAAATGATAATAATATTTATAATAAATTAATTATAGCAATTATAATAAAATAATAATAATAATAAAATCATACTAATATTTATAACAAAATAATAATAATAAAATAATAACGATAATAGTAATGAATTAATAATATTATTAAATGTTATAAAAAATATTAAAAAAAATTGAGGAATAAACAGTATAACAGTTAATATTGTATAATGATTAATTTATGTTTTTATTTTATTTTTTTACATTACCTCATAACAGTTATTTTCAATACAATTTTTTGAAAAATAGAAATTAAATTAAACCTTATGGACAATAGAAAAAAAATATTTATTAAAAATAACTCTTACGAAGGAAACGTATTCCTTAAACTAAGGGCAACGTTTTCGATCACGAAAAAAAAATTATGACAGTTGCATTTGGTCTCTAATATTAATAAAAATAATAATAAACAAATAAAGAAATGAAAGAATATTAAAAATGTGTGATAATGGGAATGCAAAATTACAGGTCCTAACTGAAAAAAACACTTCTAAAAAAATTAATTTACATTAATTAATTAATTAAATATAATTGCCAAGTGGAATTGAATGAACTTTCATTTGATAAATATTTTATGAAAAATTTCAATCAATATTGCAATTTCTTATGTTTATGTATTTTTTATTTGAAGTTATTTTCATTTTTTTAATACAAATTTTAAATTTCACTACGGCATACATTTTTAGATAATTTACGCTTTTCCTTTAGGTATATAATTTCATTTGTGTATGAATATAATATAACTTTCCTTTATGTGTTTTCTATACATTTTTATAAATTACCCACAATCAACCCAGTAAATGGTTTGCATGCATTAAGTAACCAAATTCTACGTTGAATAATAGCTTAATATTTTCGAAGGATGCAGCATAGTATTTCTTAAAACAACGAAAAAAATGCAGTTACTTAAAGTGTAATAGTTTGAAAACCGCCATAATATTTGAAAGCAGTCATAGCCACAAACGCCAACGAAGCGGAAATTAACACATTTTGCAACAACTGCAAGGGAAGAGAAAATTAAATACCGAATCAAATTTCGGCTTTCACGACAATTTACTAATTGCAAATATTGTAGAAGTATTTCACTCACCTTATCCTGCCATTTGCGATTAGCTATACATTGGCTATACGGCATGCTGGTAAAGGAGACGCTATTATAAAGCGGCACCCAAAAGTTCGGAAACCAACGGAACAACTGCGTATCTAACCATTTTCGCCAGCGAAAACTTAGACGTTTCGTAAGATCACGCATCTGTGGTGGGAGAGAAAAAGAATTATTTAGATCTTTTTTTCTTTTTAATCAAAAAGTCATTTAAATATATGCAAAATTATTGCTTGTGTCGCACCTCAACGTAATTGTACATTGCCAAATCGCATATGGCATGCGCATCACGCCAACGCAATTCAGTGAATTGTTCTAAAATCTCAGCGGTACTCAGATTCGGTTGATTAAACAGCGACAAGAGTAAAGTGCAATCTTCCATGCCCGCGTTCAAACCTTGACCATAATAGGGCACCATTGCATGCGCAGCATCACCAAGTATTAACGCCTTCGAGCCATAATGATAGGGATAACACTGTTAGGCGATTGAAAATTATTAAGTTTTTTTCCCCCATGAAGAACATTGAATATCACCGTTCACTCACCTTCACCGAAACCAAATGTTGGGGTCGTGATTTAAAGAAATCTTTAATTAAACGCTCCTTGCCGATTAGTGGCACCGCGTCGGCATAGTATTTGTGGAAGAAATTTAGCAGATCTTCACTGCTGCGTATAGTTTTGAATACTTTGAAGGGCATGGAGAGTGTAACTGTAAAGGATTTATCTTGATTGGGTAGCGCAATCATCATGAATTCGTCACGCGGCCAAATGTGTAAATAATTTTCAGGCATTTGAAACTGTAAAGTAGATGTTTAGTTGCGTATATAAAGAGAATGGGTTTAAAAACAAATCACCTCGCCCTCTTTTGCCGGTATACAAAGCTCCAAATAACCATGTTCTATATACTCTTGTGAATAATTAAAGCCAGGCGCTCTAACCATTTGTTGACGCACCGTGCTGAAGGCGCCGTCACAACCCACAATCAAATCAGCGTTATCCTCCACAATTTCTTTGCTGGGTGCGCTGTGAGAAAGAAATTTTTAGTACAACAAAAAAAAAAAATTTATAGATAAATTTCTTCAAGCTTACCGCTTAAATTCCATGCGTCCTTCATTGAAATTGACATAATTCAACTTGTGTTCGAAATGTCTATGTATATTTGGCAACTTTTCACCCGCTATAAGGCAGAAATAAATATATATACATATGTATAACAATAAAAATTTATTTCAAAAAAGTCAAGGTTCTACACTCACCATTTAAGAGCACCTCATTCAAATACTTTCGTCCCACCGAGTAGAGACACTGATTCGTACAGGGATCATATATCACCACCGTACGATTTCCTTTGATATCGTGCAACATGCGACCACGCATTGGTATGGCTGTTGCGAGCACTTCCTGCTCCAAACCCACTTCGGCCAAAGCTTTGCGGCCACGTTGAGATAAAGCTAAATTAATACTACGTCCCTGCACCAATTCAGCGCGTCGTATATCCTCACGATATTCATATAAATGTACTTCATGGCCACGGCGTGCGAAGCTGAGTGCGGCTAATGAGCCAACCTGACGAAGGGAAAATTAAATACCAAAGTGATATTATAGAAATTTGAAATTGGTGTATAAAATATAAAATTTCAAAAAAATTTGGAAGAAAAAAAATTATTAAAATTTTTTGCACAAAATATTTAAATAAAATTTATAACCAAAAAAAAAAAATTAAAATATTTTTATAAATACATATGTATATTTTTATTCAAATATGTAAATATATATTGTATATATATATATATATATATTTAAAAAAAAAATGGATGCTTAAACCATAGCATAATATTTCATTAAATTTATTTTAAATTATTATTAACAAAATTCCAGTGTATTTATTTTCATTTTTAAATACGGTTACATATGTATGTACTTATGAATATCGATGGCGGTAGCCTTTTCAATTTTATTATATTTAAAATTTTGCTGTTTAAAAGAGAGTGAAATGAAATAATTGAAACAAATTACCTTATTTATTTATAATTTCCTTTTCATAATACTATTTTGAAAGCAAATATGAATATTTTATAAACATTTTAAAAATACTACAAAACTAATTAATATAATTAAAATCGCATAAAAACATTTTTGAACTATTTTGATTTTTTTTGAACTTAATATTGTTATTTTGTTTACTCAGCTAACTAAGAACTTTATTTTTTAATAAAATAAACCAATCAGAAGACAAATAATTTTAAGACTTCAAAAATACTCGTAGTAAAAGTAAAATTATATTTTTCAAAGGAAATCAACTCGAAATATTACTTAAATTTAATTTAAGTATTTAAATTTGTTTTTTTTAAATCAAAATTTCAACAAACACATGCCGCAAAACTGAAAAAAAAACTAAAAGTCACTTACAAAGATTGTTTCTTTACAAAGGAAACTCTAGATTCGCTTAAAAATATTAATATTTATTTTTTATACTTTGTATGTCTCTCAATGCTGAATTCTTTTTTAGAATCTTTTTTATAAAAGTAAGGCCAATATAAACGTACAAATGTTTTAAAAACACTACTTTTCATATAAGTAAATTTAATATTAACGTAAAAGTGTTTAAAAATATAATTTTCTTTTTCAAAAACAATTTTTTTTTCAAAAAACAATTTTTTTTTTTCAAAAAAACACTAAAAAATTATATACATATATATATATTAAACTATTTCAAATCGTTTTGCACAAAACAAATGCCGTAATGCAATTGAAAGTAAAAAAGACGAGATCTCCAAATATATTTATGCGGTCAATCGGTCATCAATTGATTAGTTTAGCGTGATCGCTTTAAAAAAATAATAATAATATGTAATTTATGCGCATATGTTGCCAATCAAAATTCTTTAACATCAATCTCCTGTGCCGCTTGCTGCACAATGCCAATGCCATAGTTGGCCTTATCAATTTCAAATGTACATGCATATTTACTTCTTATCACGCTTGGATTTGATTTATGTTTTAACTTCATTTTAAACTATTTTAATTGATTATAAATATTTAATGTATTTTATTTGTGAATACATATATATACATATATATATATATATATATATATATATTAATTAATATAATAAGAGCAATTATCTAATTTAAAAACCTTGATCTAAAATATTCTGAATAATGTATAAATTATAATAGTATCGTTGCATAGGTACGTTTCCAATCATTTTTCTTATTTACATTGTATTCACTTCTATAACTAATGTACATACACGTCAAAAAGCGGCTTAAAGGGAAATTTTCTGTTTTTTATTAGTATTTCTATAAAAGTATATACTTTATCAATAAAAAAAATGGGTTAATTTAAAAAAAAACGCTTTCAATTGAAATAAAATTGCCAGTTCGATAGAAGTTCAAATATTTCGAAAATACTATTTTTTCATAAATATATTCAGATAGTTATTAGTTGCCTTTTATTTTACTCAAATAACATGTTAACAATATTTTGTATATATGTATATGTATATTTCTCTCAAATAACATGTTAACAATATTTTGTATATATATACATATTTTTTTTCTCGTTTAAGTGCTTAAAAATAAAATTTTAATAATTTCTGTATATAAAAAACCAATTATTATTAAAAAAAGAGATTTATAGCTGGCATACAAAATTTCTCTCATAAGCACGCACCAGTTTAGCAATCCATTACACATTAAAATTATATTTTCGTTTTTTTTTTTTTATTTAAAAAATCTCCACTTTGAGCACTCACCAAACCACCGCCTATAATAGCCACTTTTAAAGGAGCGCGGGAATTTAACGCGTTTCCATTATTCGCAGTCAATGGTATTGCATGCGACATTTTGCCTCTCAAAAACAATTATATAAGAAAAACTCGGATTAAAAGATTTGTAGATATGAGTAAAATAGTTCCCAGCGCGTTACTTGTCGCTCACAAAGATCAGAATACAATGAATAAATGTGAGCAACATGCGCTACGCTTAAGCCCAAATTACTATTTACATATGATTGTGAGATTAATAAATATGCATAGTGTTTGAATTAAAATTGAGCGGCAGACATACATCACTTGGCTTAGCATTATCTTAATGTACGTGTATGTTTAAACAATGATTTTATTTGTAGTTTGATATGCAACCAAAAATTCAAATGGTGTATATATGTACAGTTGATAGCACTGTGACCACATTCAGTGCTATAGGATGCTTATTACGAGTCACCTACTACCCCACAAATAACCTCATAGTGTAAATGCCCTAGAGAAACCATAGTAATGAATTTACTTTCATTTTAGTAAAGATTTTACATATGAATGAATGACTAAGCCGCTGAAGAGAACACTTAAATGTGTGTTTGTAAAATTCAATCCAATCAACTTTCAGTTATTTAATCAGAGTTTATTCAATATTTACCTACTCAAATTTGTAATCGAAGAATATATGAATATGTACATATTTGACGGTGCACAGCGATTTTATTTTATTAGATTTGATGGCAACACGAAGTGCTAATCTTATCACTTACATTGCTTTTGGCATTTAAAGAATCTTGAATCTTCAAAATAGCTAAAATAATGTCTGCTTGCGAGTGGAACATACATACGCAGGAGAATTCACAAATACATTTCTACATACTTATTTAATCTATTGTACCTCCTAAACCAAATATATTACCAGTCTTTCATACATCATACATGCATGTATGCACTTCTCTAGAACATATTTTCATAAAAGTTACCAAGTCTTTTATTACATACTTTGCAATTAGTATACACCTGCTGGAGTGATATGTATATTACAGTTGCCACCTGCAGCACTATAGCAACTTCTTAGTATTTTCACTGTGCGTTCGCCGCTCATGGAAGTAAAATCTACATGTTGTTCCATTGATAGGCGTAAATGCGGTGCCCGATACCAATATTCACCTAAGGCGGGTCGCATATTTGCGCCACACGTAGGATTTGGTGAGATTGCACGAGCTTTATATAGTTCAGTGCAATCTGGTATATCTGAAAAATTATTAAATAGAGTTAAATTTTTATATTTTACGACTACTACTTACCCACATCTTCAGCTAATTGTTGTTCCTCCTCAATGTTAACTAACAAATTTACATATATGATTGCGATTTGATGTTCCTTAGCTAGCATATATATTAAATTATTTAATTGCGTAAGCAAAAATTTACCTAATTTTTTAGAAAGATTTCATCAGAAATTTAATTTTGTTTTGTCTATTCTAATGAATTCACCTTTTAAACGATCTGTTTCAGTACGAAGTGTGAAGAATACAGCCGGTAGCGCATCAATAATAATCATTTTTATATTAATACCATCTGATACGTTGCCAGCTTTCGGTTGAGCGGCAACTTTTTCTAAAATAGGACATATATCTTCGGCTTTGTCTATGCGCTCGACCAAAATATTTTGCATTAAATGACCACATTCGTCATTGGGCACATTTCGACAGCGTAGTATTTCCATAATGCGCGTACCTGAAAAGTCACACTTGGTATCTATATACAGAAGTGTGCCATGCGATTGTGACACGAAATTCACGGCAATTGTGTGACACAGTTGTGTTTTGCCAGCACCTGATTTGCCACATATTTCCCATACGCTGCCTGCTTTTAGCGGTGTCCTAGCCAAGAGTGAGTCTAAGCTACAAATGATTAGAGCAAAATAGATTTCGGTAATTAATAGTATCATTTATGATGAAGAAACGATTGAAGTGCCCATGTCATTTACTTACTTTTCAATGCCGGTAGTATATAGTTTCCTATGGGTTAACTGGTTAGCAACAAGACTTTGTTGGCGAGGAAAATAATCTTCACCCAATTTTTGTTTTATTTCCAGTATCGTTGCTTCCGGTAGGCTAGTGAGATTTATTAATTCCTCATTGCTGGTCATAAGCAACTCATATCGTGTAAGGATACCTTTTCTTTGCAGCTTTCTCATTAAGTACGTGGATAAGCCAAGTCCATCGAATTGTCGTAAATCCGTCATTGCTCTTAAATAGAATCCTCCTATTTTCAAATTTTTAAATTTCCGGCGCACAATAATTTCAACAATTTGGAAATGAACAGGAGATGCAAAAATGAATCTACAAAGCAGATAGATTCAATATTAAATCGATTATATTTAGATGAATTTATCGGAATTTTCCAATTATGGTGTTCAAGTAAAAAATACTAATCAAACGCGTTGTTTCGTATTTATTAGTATTTATTTTATCTCTGTGTATCAGAATAAATAATATTTAGTCTATTCACCTAATATTGAAAATTATCAAAATCAAAAATATATTGTGCAATATCTATAAAACATGCCAGCTTCAAGATTAATATTGATGCGACACTGGAATACTAATTGCATGCAACTCTGTCGAAAAATGGCGGTCTGAATAGCTAACGAAACGCAAAATGGTCGGTTCGCTGGCTGATTTTTCAAGTTCGCCGTTTCAGTTTCCGTAATGTTCTCACCGTGTTCAGAAGGCACATTGGTGCTCTTGGTGTTTATGTGAAAATTTAAAATTCGAGCGAGACGGAACATACGGTTTATTGTGCGTGTGAAGAGTACAGCATGTGCTGAAAATCTTGTCAAGCACAGACGATTTTCATACATTTTACATAGAATTTGATTACTAATTTTTGTGCAAAAATATTACGAATATTTTGAAAGTTTTTGTGCCACGATTAAAAGCGTAGTTTGAATATTATAATTGTTATTGAATTTTCGGCAGATGTCAATTGGAAAACCAGAAATTTCGTGATTGAAAAAAGCTGTCTGAGGTGAGTTGTAATGGCCGCGGCTGCTGCTCGTTCGTTTGTTCGGTATAGAGAAAATTCGATTAAAAGAGCAGTGTTGTATTTTAAGTATTTTAGTTACAAAATGTTTCGATTATTTAAAAAAAAAATTGAAAGTTATTTGAAAAATACTAGACAAAGGAATAGTGGTAATTCCTATATATAAGATTTTTGAAAAGGTTTGAGTTTCTTAGCTCGATTTGTCATTGGAGTTCCTAATGCGAAAAATGTATTTAAAATTGACAACCCTCAATGTGGCATTCGGCAAATGAAATACCAATATGGCTGCCGAAATAAAACAGGGAAGTCGTTTCAAAATTACCAAGTGTTCCGTTTTCAACTATTCCCAGCGCAGTGTTGTTTCTTTATTTTTTAGTAAAAGTCGTTTATTTATTTAAATAATTTTTATCACTGTGTTACTATTTCAAAATGTTGGTGTGCTAAAAAATGAACATTAAACAAACAAAAATCTTAATAAATATGAATTAAAATTACAACATTGCAAGTAATTAGAAAACAATTAAATCGAAATTAAATTATCAATATTCGTTTTATACATTGTTTGGAATTCTCCTTATTTTGTAAAATAAAAAAAAAAGTTTAGATCGTAATATAATGCATTTGACGTAGTTTCATGTTTGTCAATATGCATATTTCTTCTATATTAACGGTGTTTTAAATTTTAATTCACCGGAAGCAATTGGAACAAAGCCGGCTTCATTTAAAACTACCTGTGATTTATTATATTTTTACCTAGCACTGAAACGAGTGATTTGAAAAATTTAATAGGGTAAATGCCCAATACACTTAAAATTATATGTTTCGTAAAAGTAACCCTTATCAAATAATCACGATAAGCTATCGGCAGTAGGCATAATTACTTATTCGAAAACTTCTTTTGGGTTTGTAAAACTGTATTTTTTAAGGAACGCACTCCAGCTGGTGAAAGCCTTGATCTTTTAATCTCCTCTATGTATTTTTATGTGTGCCATTGCTTCTAATACATTTTAAAATTGAAGTAGCGATATTTACAAAGACATACGTATATACGTGCCTAGTTTCAAATATGCAAGCGCACTCTGTGTTATCATTTAACTGTGTGATAAAACAATTTGTAAACTTGCGAAATTAAAGCGCTTTATAAAAATGCTTTTGAAGAATCACATTCAAAAGAATCTATAAAAGCAATATTCAACGATCTCAAAGAAAAACTAATTTAGTATTTGTTCAATTATTTGGTTTTAATGTATGTACATATGTATTGATATATACCATCTTAATTTTATTATATTGATTGAACGTTAGATTTGACAATATTTCTATTTAAGAAAAATGCAGATTGAAAAAGAAAGACGATTAGTTTGGAAATGAACAGTTTTCAAAATACTAAACGTAATATCCAAAATGTTTAACTAACTATAACTGCTTGCTAGGATGAATAATAGTCCATTTATTTAATCTCCGATAAGCATTATATTAATATTATGTTGTAAAAGCGGAGGCCGCGCTAGCCGAAAGGTTAGCTTTGCATACTGCCATTCGGAATGCTCGGGTTCAAGTCAATTAATTTAAATAAAATATTGGGCTAAATTTTCTGATTGCGGTGTAGTTCTGATATGAAGTGAAGCTCCTCAAAAAAAAAAAAAAACATCAGCCGTTCGGAGGCGGTTTGGTATAAACAGTAGGTCCGTCCATTTATTGGAAAAACATAGACGCAAAACCACAAATTGGAGGAGGAGCTCGGCCGAAAATCGGTTCAGCGGATGCAATGTGCCAAAATTATATATATTTGTTGTAAAAACAATATTGAAGTATGAAATATTCAAACGCAAGGGCACTCTGTGTTATCATTTAATAGTGTGATAAAGCAATTTGTAACCTTGCTAAAGAAAATCAGAATTTGCTTCTCACTTCTTAACTGTATAACTGGTAGAGAAGTGATCAAATTGTGTGACAAATCTTATAAGATGTAATAACAATATTGAATTATTCGAATGCAAGGGCACTCTGTGTTATCATTTAATAGTGTGATAAAACAATTTGTAACCTTGCCAAAGTAAAGCAGAATTTGCTTCTCACTTCTTAACTGTATAACTGGAAGAGAAGTGATCAAGTTATGTGACAAATCTTATAAGAATTTTTTTTTAATTTAAAATTTTAAATACCACTTTTCCAACAAAAAAAATCTTTTTTTTTTCCCCACAGATGCATCAAACATGAATGAAGGTGAGTCAGCAGGAGGGGGGCATCAACGGGCTAGCCCAGCCCCTCCTGCTGTATCCGACCATAGATCAGTTTTATCGTCAACAAATACAACAGCTTCGGTGGCTGTACCCACCACACCAGCAACTGGAACAGTTGCAATTCCAGAGGCAGATACGTCTGTAACACCTCGCAGTTTTCAGCAAGCATTTACACAGCAACATTTGCCCAAAACACATCAACAACAAAAACAAGATCAATTTGTGGCAACAACAAAACTATCAACAAATATTCAAAGCAATCAAACCAAATCGTTACAACAGAAATTTCAACAACAGTTGGCGCAGGCGCAGCATTTGCCTATGCCGCAAACATCTCGTGTAACAGGAGCAACAGCGGCAAATACGTCAAGTAGTTTCTTGGCAAGCGGACAAACCCAAATTGAAAGCACAAGTGGTGTTGTTTTACAGAATATACAACGCGTGCCAGCGTCGACGGACACGACGTCGAGTAGTAGTCTTATAAATAATTTTTCAACCTCATCGGGTGCAACGAGTTTGATTGGAGAGGCGGGAGGACAACAGGATATCTACAGCGGCTCACCGCTGGCCAAGCGTGCGAAGCTCGTTGGGAGTAGTAGCAGTAGCTTGACTGCCTCTTTGTTGCCAGCAAGTGGGAGTGCGCAAGATAACAGCAGTACGGCTGTGTCTGCACCGCAGGACATAAATGCGCTCAAGAAGCGCATTTTGGAGCAAAAGTATTTACGTTTGCGAAGTCTTAAAGAAAGGTGTGTAAATCATTTACATAAGAAAAAGAAATATTAAGATAATCAATTAAAATACAAAATCTTTAATAAAATTGAATAACATTTACAGACACACAGAAAATGTCGCCGAATTATTCTATTTACAAAGCGGTGGCAATATGATGGACTACCCAACGTGGCGTAAGAAACCACCAACCCCGCAGTTCGTCACCTTTAGTAATGCTTATCGTCTAGATCAGTTGGTTAGTGAGGACAGAGCTGCTACATTAGTACAGCAACAACAACAACAACAAAAGACAACTGATAACATAGCAACCATAATTGGTGTTGCTAGCAGCAATCAGCAGCAGCAGCAACAAACTCAAAAACAACCCACACAAGAATATTTATCTGCAATCACAAACAAAACGGTTAGTATACTTAATAAACACAGCCCTTTGAAATTTATATGCGGAAAATATGCACTATCTTATGTCGTGCGATGAATATGATGATAAAATGTCACTGAACAAGTCCACCGACTCTATTTTTGAGAAAGTCAACTTCAATAGGATGTTCGCATTTGCGAGGCATTTGTCTGATTCATGCCAAAAAAAAAATTTTAATTCATAAATAAGTTTACGATTTTTTGAATTCATAAAATATAATTTAATATTCTATCTTCTTCTTACAGAGCATCCAAACTCAAATAGCTTCAGATATAAATAGTAATAGTAGCAATAGTAGTAGTGGCGGCAGTGGCTCCACTGCAGCCGCTACATCGAATTTGCTCACGACAACAACAACTTCAACACCTATTGCCAGCAGTACTAGTGCGAACACCATCGATGCCAGTGGTGACGTACTGCCACAGGGTGCTGAAATTAAAATTCCCGCCGTCGGGGCAACGCCTGTGGCTGTTTCCACGAAACTACCAGCAGCTGTTGTACAACTGACCCAACAAGGTATGCCCACATACATACTTACTTACATTTTCATAGTTAATTTTGTTTGTTTCTAACATTTCATACAAATTCCTTACTAAAAAAAAAACATAAAAAGGCAAAGAAAAATTTAAAAAAAAAAAATTTCATTGCAACTTCCATTTTCGCTTTCCTAACCGTGCACAACACAACCACATACATACAATTTTTATTTAGTAAAAAAAATCTTGTTTGGCTTTAATTTTTCGAATATCTTTGTAAACAATATTTAGTTTTGTGTTTTAACTAAAAATTTGGAAAATTGGCGAAAAAATAATTTAAAGCAAAATACTAAAATTTCAAGAAATAAGTAAAAAAAAAATTAGTCGTCTTTGGTAACACTTTCATAATTTAGTTGTATTATTTTACATATTTCGTGTATTATTACTGTTATTCACTTATTCTTGTATCTCGAACTCACATATGTCATAACACTCTCGCTCACCATTATTCTGTTGTGTATCATCTTTACATTGTATCATTATTTAGGTCACATACCCGGTAGACCTTTAGGAGGTCGGCACGGGATGGTATTTGGTCAAATACCCGCCCCACCAGCTGTAGGAAATACTACCTTACCTTTGGTGCCAGGTGCTTATCGTTTTATTCAGAACAAGCAAATCTCCTTACTTTTTTTTATAATTTTCTTCTTCGTACTTATTTTATGATCGACTACATACATACATAGTTTTTGAATTGCGTATTAATTAGCTCTAAATTGTGCCAATTATACATATTTACTTTACTATACACATTACGAGTACATAAATACTTTTGATTTGATTTGAATTTCATTGGAGGTAGTAACTAAGTGTGCAGAAATACAATAAATGCATTTTTAAAAAAGAATATAAACATATATGTACAATTTCATTTATGGTACAATTTGTTGATTTCGCCATTTCATGCTTCTTCTCGTAAACACAAAACTTTTATGTTAAGTTTAGATTGGCTGTTTTGGTTTTCAATTTTTCATTTCTTATTATTATTATGTATTTTATTTTTTTTAATTATTTAAATTTATGCCACTTTAAAAAATATTCATACACATTTTTTATTTGAAATAATTGAGAATAATAATCAATTCTTTTTAATGAATTTGCCCAAAATGTAAGTTTCCGTAGAGTGAATATGATGATAAAATGTCACTGAACAAGTTAACGGCCTCTATTTTTGAGAAAGTTGACTTCCCAAGGATGTTCGCATTTGCGAGGCATTTGTCTGATTCATAACTATGAAATTTATATTTTTGCAAGTAAATTAAACAGAAATATTTTTTATGATGTGTATGTGTTGTTACTATATTTTTTTTACCTATACTATTTTTTTTTTTTTTTTTTTTTTTTGTAGAGTTTTACAAATCAAGAAACTAAAACCTAAAAAAGAACAGAAATGTAAATGCGTGGAGGCATTAGAATTCACTATTTTTTTTTTGAAAGCCAAGACTAGCCGATTCACTGCTAATAGTGCAAACGATATAACTATATTAAAATCATTGCATAAATTTTGTTTCCTATAGGATGATTTATTTTTATTGAGTACTATTTCATTTCTTTTTTAAATAGAATTATCATTCATTTAGCATAGGTTATAAATAATTAGAATAAAACTTGATACGAAAGTATTTTATGCGCTGAAAGCCATTGTAAGTTTATGACTTTAAGAAGTGCGTTTAGTAATTGAATTATTGAAAGATGAGCTCCGCGCCTCAAGAACGAGAGTGCAAGTTTTTTTTACATTAAAAATAAAATAAAAATAATACTTCATCTGCTCTAGAATGGTAGAAAATGGTTGTAAAATAATAAAAATAATGTTAAATAAGGAAGTAATTTTCAATATATCTTTGAAAAAATTCACACCAAAATTGGTCGTTTAGAAAAGAGAAACTTGTGCTTTGTGGTCTCGAATTTTGGAACTATCTTAGGTTTAACTATTTATCTACTTTGCATTACTAGAAATCTTGCCTTATGTTTAAATTGTTCATTGGCAAGATCTGTAGTAAATAATGCTAGAAAAAACATTGCGATATTGCCAATTGATTGCTTACAATTCAGAAGCCTAATCATTCTAGATTATCGCAAACAAATGTAGCTTAAATAATAATTTTAGTCAGACAAAAAAGTAAACTTAAAAGTAAAATATTAAAATGTGTAAAAAAAATAAAATATCTACAAAATTAAATAAAAAATAAAAAGTATAGACAACAAAATTAAAAGTATAAACAACAAAAAATACATAAAAATATAAAAAATTAAACTAAAAAAATTTAAAAAAAAAAAATATTAAAAATAAAACTAAAAAAATATAAAAAAATAAAACTAAAAAAATATAAAAAAATAAAACTAAAAAAATAGNTATAAAAAAAATAATAAAAAAATAATAAAAAAAATAATAAAAAAAATAATAAAAAAATGACATATAAAAAATAAAATTAAACATGTAAAAATTAAAATGAAATATATAAAAAATGAAATGAAATTTTGAAAAATAAACTAAAAAATAAAAAATAAAACAAAAAATATTTAAAATTAAATGAAATATATAAAAAATAAAACGAACTAAAAAAATATATAAAAAATTAAAAGAAATAAAAAAATATATAAAAAAATAAAAGAAATAAAAAAATATACAAAAAATTGAAAGGAATAAAAAAATATATAAAAAATTAAAAGAAATAAAATATATACAAAAAATTAAAAGAAATAAAAAATATACAAAAAATTAAAAGAAATAAAAAAATATACAAAAAATTAAAAGAAATAAAAAAATATACAAAAAATAAAAAGAAATAAAATAAAATATATAAAATATAAAATGAAATATATAAAAAATAAAATGAAATATATAAAAAATAAAATGAACTAAAAAAAATATATAAAAAATAAAAAGAAATAAAATGAAATATATAAAATATAAAATGAAATATATAAAAAATAAAATGAAATATATAAAATATAAAATGAAATATATAAAAAATAAAATGAAATATATAAAAAATAAAATGAAAAATATAAAAAATAAAATAAAAAATATAAAAAATAAAATAAAAAATATAAAAAATAAAATAAAAAATAAAATAAAAAATATAAAAAATAAAAAAAATATAAAAAATAGAACAAAAAATATAAAAAATAAAATAAAATATATGAAAAAAAAAATTAATTATAAAACATAAAATATAAAAGAATAAAGTTATATAATAAAAGATGATAGATAAAAAAAAACAATAAAATAAAAATTAAAAAGAAATAAATTTTTTGAAAATATAAATAAAAAGCATTGCAATTTCAAAATTAAACATAGAGTAAAAAATGGGAAATTAGTTTAGAATATTAAAAAACAACTTAGTAAGTTAAAAAAAAAAATAAATTTAATGATAAACAAATAAAAAACGAAAAAAAAATTAAAATAATACAAGAAAATAAAAATCACATAAATGCAATAAATATCAATGTCAACTTTGAAAAAGAAAAACTAATTTAGTATAAATTTATTATCTAAAATATACTAATGTATGTATTTGAGATCCGTGTTCGCACTTTTCCGAATCTTGTAAAATTTAAATTATATTTTACAGAATTTCGTATCTATAAAAAGTGCTAAAGTAATATTTTATTGCGATATTGCCAATTGATTGCTTACAATCCAGAAGCCTAATCATTCTAGATTATCGCAAACAATATTAATTTGGTTAAAATATGGTATTATTTTTGGCAGAGATGTTTTCGTTTTTTTTTTCTTTATATATATATGTGTATATTTTATTATTATTATTTTTTTTTAGTTTTAGTTTAAGTTAATTTTTTTTTTTTAATTTATAAAATTAATTTCTTTAGATTGTTAGGTTTTCGAATTATTCCTAAGCCCTCACCATATTCATTCGTCATCTCTTTTACGCTTTTTAGTTGTTAGACACGATAACCTAATTGATAAATGAATTGGTTTTCTTATAAATAATACGAAATATCTATTGGTTGGTTTCGCCTGTAACGCCTAAACGCTTGTTGAAGATTGATTGTAACGTATTGTATGATTTTGTGCATCCCTTCAAAAAGCATGTACCGTTGTGACTTTAAACGCATTAATTGCAATAACTTTTTTCTATTTCACATAAATGAAAGTTTTTGCTAAATATTTATTAATTTTTTTGTTTTGCAATTCACCACGAATCCTCTTTATTAGGTGGCACGCCGCTTGTACCTGCTATCGGTAGTGGTGGTGGTGGTGGCGGCAGTGGCGGCGGCGGAAGCTCGCCGGCAGCTGTACTGAGACGTAATGGCAATGGACACTCAGCAGCAGCATCGCCTGGTACATCTGGGGCCGTGGGCGGCAGCAGCAGCAGTTTACACCTCAATTCACCCGCTCCGCACTACTCCCCAACGCCCAATGCTGTGTTGGTGCCTGCGACCGTTAATGGTAGTACAGCTGCTAGCAGTAGTGGAAACACTGCCGCCTTGACCGGCAGCGGCAGCGCCAGCAGCAACAATGCTATACTAGGCACGACATCGGCTGCAACGGCGAGCAACAGCAGCAGCAGCGCGCAAGAGTTTTCATTCAAAGCCAAACAAGAGGTTTATGTGCTCCAGCGCGTATCCGAATTACAACGAGAGGGATTATGGACTGAAAAACGTTTGCCGAAATTGCAAGAGCCGAGCCGGCCGAAAGCACATTGGGATTACCTGCTGGAGGAAATGGTGTGGCTGGCCGCGGATTTTGCGCAAGAGCGTAAATGGAAGAAGAATGCAGCGAAGAAGTGTGCCAAAATGGTGCAGAAATACTTCCAGGATAAAGCGAATGCCGCACAAAAAGCCGAGAAGGCGCAGGAGGCCCATCTCAAGCGTATAGCCGCATTTCTGTCGAAGGAGGTGAAAATGTTTTGGTCAAATGTGGAAAAATTGGTGGAATACAAACACCACACCAAGTTGGAGGAGAAGCGCAAAAAGGCGTTGGATCAGCATTTAAGTTTCATTGTCGATCAAACGGAGAAATTCTCGCAACAATTGGCGGAGGGCATGAATAAGAGCATAATGGATGCAACGGCGGGTGCTAGTGGTGCGCCTAGTATGGAATCGAGCAGAATATCATCACCCAAACGTGAGGGTGTCGCGGGGAATGGCTCAGATGGTAAGTGTTTGGAAATGAAAAAGTGTTTTAAATGATATTTTATGCTTATAATTGAATTATACGCGTCTTCCAGATGATTTCCGTCCAGAGTCTGGTTCAGAGGATGACGAGGAGACAATTGCCAAGGCCGAGGAGGAAGCGGCCGATGTTAAAGAAGAGGTTGCTGCCTTGGAAAAAGAATCTCAAATGGATCTAGATGATTTTCTCAAAGATCTACCAAAAGGTTATTTGGAAAATCGTGATAAAATTTTACTGGAAGAGGAGGAAGATTCTAAAATGGCAACAAGCAGTCAAGAAGATGACGCGGATGACGCCGAATTCGAAGCGAATGAAGATAGTGGTGATGATGAGAATACGATCAGTAAGCAGGAGGAGGAAGAACAGGATATTGACCATCAGAAAGAGATTGACGATTTAGAAGCAGATAATGACTTGACGGTGGAACAATTGCTCGCAAAGTACAAATCCGGCAAAATTGATGAACCAACAACAACAGCGTCGTCGCGTAAACGTGGAACAAAATCACCAATAGCAAAAAAACGCGCTAAAATCGAAGTCGATTCAGACGACGACGACGACGAGGAAGTGGCCGATGATGCGAGCAGTGATGGAACGGTGGTCGAGACTGAGAGCGAGTCTGACGCCGAAGGTGAAGATACAAACGATGAGGAAGCGGCTAGTTCAGCGAATGAGAGCGAAGACAACGAGCCGGAAGATGGTCTGAAAAGTCTGCTGGAGGATGTAAGTTGAAAAAAAGTAGCCAAGAAACACCTTAATATTTTACTAATTTTATATTTGTATTTTAAAATACCTACAGGCGGAAGGCAACAGCAAGGATGATATGATTAAAGATGCTGCTGCCTTAGCTGAAAGTATACAGCCTAAAGGTAATACGCTCTCTTCAACGAATGTAGTAACGCCGGTGCCATTCTTGCTGAAGCATTCATTGCGTGAATATCAACACATCGGCTTAGATTGGCTTGTCACTATGAATGAGCGTAAATTGAACGGCATATTGGCCGATGAAATGGGTCTGGGTAAGACCATACAGACCATCGCTTTGCTTGCACATTTGGCATGTGTCAAAGGTAATTGGGGTCCTCACTTGATTGTTGTTCCATCATCGGTGATGTTGAATTGGGAAATGGAATTTAAAAAATGGTGTCCTGCCTTTAAAATACTCACCTATTATGGTACGCAGAAAGAGCGTAAGCTGAAACGCGTTGGCTGGACGAAACCAAATGCCTTTCACGTATGCATAACATCCTACAAATTGGTTGTGCAGGATCAACAGAGTTTTCGGCGGAAAAAGTGGAAATATCTGATATTAGATGAGGCACAAAATATCAAAAATTTCAAGTCACAACGGTGGCAATTGCTCTTGAATTTCTCCACAGAGAGGTGAGTTTTAGCTGATTTGTTATACTTGACAATTTTTTTATTTTTCCTTGAGTTCACAAGCAGCACCGTAATCAGTGCTTATTCGATTTGCTAACTTAGAATAAGAACTACGCTTGGGTGCTAAAAGTAAACAATTTTCAAAGCATGACTTTCTTTGAGAGACTCTGTTAAGGTCTGCATTGGCTTGTTAAAATGCTCTGAAAACAAATACAAAATCTAAAGAAGTTGTCGAAAAAATTAGAAAATAAATAGAAGAGCTTAAAGGTGCTGGAGAGAGTTTGTGGGAGAAATGTATTTTTGAAAAAATAGAGAAAATTAACATTAAACTGCAAAAAGAAAAACTAATCGGGGCAGGAGCTCAACAATTAATTTGAAAGGAATGATGTTTCGTTTATAAAGATTTTCAATTTCACAAAAAAAAAAAAAAAAAAAAAAAAAAAGTTACCGTTTTTGCATATATTCTTAAAGTAAATAAATGGAAAATAAATTCCCTAAAAATAAAAAAAAAAAAAAGTTCGGAAAGGCTATATTTAAAAATAAGAAATTTTTAAATTTAAAAAATACATTTGGATATATTGTACATACATGTCTGAGATAAAAATTGATGTATAAATTTGCATTTGAGTTTTTGTAAATGTAAATTAAATTTTGAATTTTTCCTTTTAGACGTCTATTACTCACCGGCACGCCATTACAAAATGATTTGATGGAATTATGGTCTCTCATGCATTTCCTTATGCCATACGTGTTTTCATCGCATCGTGAATTTAAGGAGTGGTTCTCAAATCCCATGACTGGCATGATCGAGGGTAATATGGAGTACAATGAAACGCTCATCAGTCGTCTGCATAAGGTTTGTAATGCTACACGAAGTGATGATTTTAGAATACATATTAACATTTTATATCCTTACCCCTCACTATTACAGGTCATACGTCCGTTTCTGTTGCGTCGCTTGAAAAAAGAAGTTGAGAAGCAAATGCCGAAAAAGTACGAACATGTAGTAATGTGTCGTTTATCCAATCGTCAGCGATATTTATACGATGATTTTATGAGCCGCGCAAAGTGAGTTTGTAGACAAAATGCTTATATGTTGTTATTATTGTAATATTGTTTAATTTTAATTTACCTATTATTTTGCTTCTTTTCGTTTTATTATTATTATTTTTTTTTCAATTTAGAACAAAGGAAACGCTGCAAACTGGCAATCTCTTGAGTGTTATCAACATACTAATGCAGTTGCGTAAAGTTTGTAATCATCCAAATATGTTTGAAGTACGACCAACAATTTCACCATTTCAAATGGAGGCCATCACATATGAAGCGCCGAGGATCGTTTATGATTTACTCGAATATGATCCGTTTAAGGTATGTTGGAAGTGGAGAAATTTATAAAAATGTTTATGTAAAACTTAAAATGATGATAAATTGTCACTGACATTCTGTACCAATCTATTATTGAGCGGTTCAGAATAAAAAAGATGGTCGCATTTGCGAGGCATTTGTCTGATTAAAAGATACAGTATATTTTTGGGGGTTATCAATGGAGATTTCCTAAAGACATTTTATACATTGGAAAAATATGGAAAATACTATGACGATTTCCAATTTTAATACCCTATTTTTTTCAATACATTTTGAATGACAAATCGTTCTTAACCAATATTAATACCGTAAAATACCTCGCCTCATTTCTAAGTTAAAATATACTGAATCTTCATCTAAATTAATTTTAAGTTCCCCAAAAAAAATATGCGAATTTTTAGTTTGATACATAATTCCCTTACCTCACATTTTTCAGCACATCGATTTGCATTCTCTCAATTTACTACTCATCGACTTGGAGCTTACCCTTACCGCTTATGTTTCACACAAATCCCGCGTACTCGAAGCACCACGAAAGCTGATAGAGGAAATTGACAGCGCACCTGCGTTGCCGCCGCCCTGTCCGCGTGGTAAATTTAAATTCTACATCCGTGTACGCGATCAACAAGTTCAGCAGAATTTAAGCCAGCACGTGACGTCTGTGCGTGTGGGCGCCAGTCCTGCCATGCGTACTGAGGGTAATAAAATGGTGCCATTGCGCGATACAAATACGGCGAATCTGCGTTTGGTCAAGCGTTTGAATCATATAAATCCTGTTAACACATCCAAAATGCCCGCTTTATCACTGGCGCCCTCAACTTCCAGTTCAGCAGCGGCGGCGTTGGCCAGTAGTAATGCAGCCAACAGTAGTGGCATTGCCAGCTTACGCACCGGCTCAGGTATTTCAGTGACGCGTGTACAGGTGGGTCAACACTCGAGTGCGGGTCTGGCGCCACCTGCGGCGAAAATCGCGAAACTAGTGCAACCTGCCAGCGGCAAACCATATTTTCTGGTCACATCGTCAGCAGGCAGCAGCGCACTGAGTGACACAATAAGTGCCAGCACTAGTGGTGGTGCTGGTGCTGGCGCGGGCAATCGACTGACCTTGTTGTGTAAAAGTGGTAGCGGACAGGCGACAAGTATACAGGCTGTGAGTGCTGGCACAAAAGCTGGCGTTGGCATAAAGCCAAAAGCGATGGAAAACTCCAAGCTGTTGAGCACCATTGCGCAGCAGGTGAAAAACGTTACCGCAGCGGAGAAAGATGACGGCGCCAGCAATGCAATGGACGTTGATGAACAAGATACGGCAGCGACCGAAACGTCAGAGGGGGATCCCATCTATAATATGCAAGATATATTGGAGAAGCGTAAGGAGCAGCGTACAGCGCGTCTCAAATTGATTTCAGCGGTGAATAGGCGGCGCGTAGAGGGTGTGCCCATCTACGGCGAAGATTGTCGCTACGCTTTGGCGAAGTGCACGAAACCCAGTCAAGCATTGGAGTACTCTACATGGCAAACACGCAGTCACACCAATTGCTCCACAGCCATGGCACGTCGCGACGGCTGGACACTCAGTAAGATACTCAAAGCGTATGAGAAACGTGTAGAAGAGCTGCGGCAAACGTTTAGTAATTTCGTTATTTACGTACCGCCTGCGTGTGCGCCACGTATACGCTTCTTTGTGCAACATCTAACATCGGGACGTTTGCAACGCGAATGCGCCATTGAAAGCACCGTTACACAATATGTCTCACCCAAATTGGCATTATTGCATCCGGTCATCTCGGCAATGACCACACAGTTTCCGGATCCGCGTCTCATACAATACGATTGCGGTAAATTGCAGACGCTAGACCTACTCTTGCGTCAGCTGAAGTCTGAGCAACATCGTGTGCTCATCTTCACGCAAATGACGAAAATGCTGGACGTATTGGAGGCGTTCCTAAACTATCATGGTCACATTTATCTGCGTTTGGATGGTTCGACACGCGTTGAGCAGCGCCAAGTGCTGATGGAGCGTTTTAATGGTGATAAACGCATTTTCTGCTTCATCCTCTCAACGCGTTCAGGCGGTGTGGGCATCAATTTAACTGGCGCTGATACTGTGATATTTTACGATTCCGATTGGAATCCAACAATGGATGCGCAAGCGCAAGATCGTTGCCATCGTATTGGGCAAACGCGTGATGTGCATATCTATCGGCTGGTTTCGGAGAAAACAATCGAGGTTAATATACTGAAGAAGGCTAATCAAAAGCGTATGCTCAGCGATATGGCCATTGAGGGTGGTAACTTTACAACAACATATTTCAAAAGCTCCACCATCAAGGATCTCTTCAATTTGGAGCAAGGTGAACAAGATGCATCTGCTGCTGGTAGTGTTGAGGCTGCGTCAAATAGTGGCAATCGTGTGGAAAAAGCATCAAGCAGCGCTGCTGCTGCCGCAATAGTTGGTGAGTTGGGAAGCGAACTTGATGCGGAGAAACAGTCGTTGCGAGCTTTTGAAAGCGCATTGGCTGCCGCCGAAGACGAACAGGACGTACAGGCTACCAAGACCGCTAAAGCCGAGGCAGCAGCCGATTTGGCTGAGTTCGATGAAACTATACCAATTGATGAGGCGACCAATGCTGAGGGCGGCGGTGCCACGACTGAGATGAGCAAAGCCGATTTGGAAATGCAAAATCTCGTTAAACAGGTTAGTGGAATTTTTTTATGTATATATGTATGTAAAATTCAAAGAAATAGTATTAAATTAATAACGGTAAATGAGAGATTCGGCATTAAACTTCCAACTGTCCAGTGTGACCATGTACTTTACCTGAACGCGGTAGTCTGGTGCCAATATAAAACTTTCAAAGACGTTCAGACATAGTCAAAGCGAAGATAAACGCCTGATTATATCACTCAACGTCTAACATTATCACCAAAAAACGTGCAAACTTTAACAACGTTTTATGTTTCGCCAATTTTTGTTTGTTTCTCCTCCATTTTCCTTTCAATATTCCTTACTGAAAATCTGCTTTCACTTGCAGCTCTCACCCATCGAACGCTACGCCATGCGCTTCGTTGAAGAAACCGGTGCCGCATGGACTGCCGAGCAATTGCGAGCAGCCGAAGAGGAAATCGAAGCACAAAAACGTGAATGGGAGGCAAATCGTTTAGCGGCCTTGCAAAAGGAGGAGGAAATGCTGAAAAAGGAGGCAGAAGCAGATGAGATGCTCACCTACAATCGCAAGGATGCAAGCAATCAGGTTAATAATAAAAATCAAGGATCTACAATTAGAACAAAAACTATGAATAAGTCAAATAGAAGAGTACTTAAGCAACAGCAACAGCAACAGCAGAGAAATCAGGGGTTGGTAGGGCGTGGTGGTAAAGTCGTTATACTTGGTGGTGGTAGAAATAGCAGTGGTCGTGGTGGGATTGCAAAACGCGGAGTAGAATCGCGTCGAAATAGTATGCCAGATAAACGGTCACCAGTGAGGCAAAGAAGGGGTGCGGGTAATCAGAGTTCACGTAGAAAAAGAGGGGGTAGCTCAAGAAACAATAATATATTTAGTGGTAGTCCTAGTATTAAGAGCCGAGGTAATAGTGTTGAGCATGAAAGAGTAGCTCAAGCTAAGGGTGCTAAGGGTGGTAGAGGAGCAACCAAGAGATCCTCGTCGCCCACAGCATCAGAAGACGCTGTTGAGGTGGGGACGAGCACAACAAAATCCACTAGAAAGACAACGCGTACCTCAATGGCAGCAGCAGCCGCCGCCGCAGTTAATGCGGATACAGATGGCGATGACAATGATGATAACAACAGTAAGAGCGATGAGCCGAGTGTAGTGGTGACCAAGCGAAATCCAACAGGTGTTAAAAATCAAAGTCTTTTGAATCGCAGACGAATGCAAGAACAGCGTAAGCGACTTCGAACCGCCAATATATCCGCTGTGACGACGAAAGCCACATGTGTTCGAAAACGAAAATTAACCGAAAGCGGAACAAAGCGACAGCCTGCGAAACGTAAAGCAATTGAGAGAAAGAAGACGGCGGTCAAAAGAAATAACCGGCAATTGCGTAATAGTCCGAAAAAGAATGCGGCGAATAAATCATCGGGTTCACGTACTGTAAGCAATGAGCAGAGTGAAGATGAAGAGGAGGGCGATGAGATTGTGGAAGATGAAGATGAAAATGACAGTGATGAGCAGGTCGATAATGACACAGAAGGGGATGAAGAAGTTGGGGATGGGGTGGAAACAGCTAATGAAGATGAGGAAGAGCTAGAGGCAGAAGCAAGTGAAAACGAAGAAACCGCCGTAGAAGCTAGCGAAGAGGAGGAGGAAACAGAAGAGAGCGGCACAGCAGTGAGTACTGTTGAAGATTCGGACAATGATGAGGATCAGTACGATAGTGCCCAAAGTCATCTGAGCGAGGAAGCGGAGTCGGCTGAACAAACTGAAACGGACGAAGATGAAGAAAAACCGAAGAAGATCATACGTAGGAAAGCACAAGCAAAATATTACACACAACGCAAAAAATACAATTCACGCCCCAGGCCTGTTTCACCGCCACCTACTCAAGAGGAAGAAACCGAAGAAGAAGAAGAAGAAAATGCTGAAAACGATGGCGTAGCTGAGAATGAGAGCAACAACGATGTCTCCAGCTATGTAACCGTACTGGACACGGCCGAACATGACTTGGACGATTTCGATGAGAGCGAACGGAATGATGTTATACAGGGAAACAGTGGTAGTGAAAGTGAAAATGAGAAGACACATCCATACACCACACACTCCCTTGCGAATGAACAACGACGAAAACACCGACGTCGAAACGATTCGGATGCGCCGACAAATTCCAACAGCATGGACGTTTGGAATGCACACACACAAATACAAGACACGACCATGACAAACTCAACATACTACAATGTGTCCGACGAAACGGACTCGGAAGAAAATGAAACACCACTCGCACATCTCCATCATCCTCCCAGCTCGGCGACGTCCTCAGCTACGAAACGTGGCGCGGCAAGTGCAGGTAATTTTTCAACCGCATCGAAAACGTCTTCACATGCCGGAGCAATAACAACTGGAATACACCAGAATCATGTTGATGTAAATAGTCCGCGAACGCGTTCGCGTGGTGCGGTCAAAATCAATTTGTGGACATTAGATGTCAGTCCGGTGCTGCCGTTGGTGTCGCGTGTGACGAAGAAACAACGCGCTCGAACGGGTGTAACGAAAGACGCGACGCCCACAGGGGAGGAAGACGACGCCGAAGCCGAAGCCGAGGAGGCGGCCGAAGAAGAGCACTTGGAGTATAGTGATGCTGAAAATGTCACCAGCAATCATAAAACCAACAAATCGGCGAACAACACGATGCAAGCAGCACTTGCACAACCGCCTGGTAGTAGAAAAGCAGCAGCGAAAACTTCAAAAACACCTGTACAACGTAGGCGCATATCGAAATTGCAAGTGGCGGCCTCTAGTATACGTAGTGGCACTACAACGCTGCATCGTTGGTTGCTAAAAACTCCGAAGAACGTAAAAGACTGTACAGCAACAACAACAACGGTTGACGAGTCTCATGAAGCGGAAAATGAAAGCGAGCTGCTCGATCCATTAGCCGACAGTAGCAGAGATTCTTCGGACTTGGCCATGCAAAGCGCGAGAGCAGCAGCGAATAGAAGTAGTAATGGTCCAACATGATGCCACTAAAATATCGCGGCTGAAGGCGATTGGCAAAAAATATAGTTAACACGGACATACGAAAGAGTCATGTCTTGTTTGTACATATTAGCGCTGCTGACTAAGAGAAGCTGCACATGGAGCGCTTTCAATTCTCTTTACATACAAAATTACTATGACAGTATTATACATAGAAAGGACTGTAACATGCGCTGCTGTGCATTGTTGTGCGTTTGTTGTGTTCTTTTTAGTTGGATGAAAAAACTCGATACAAGTTTATTATAGCAAATCTTTGATGATCTTGGTTGCTCTGATGAGCGTACAACACATTCACTGGCACGCGCACACGCGCTTGCACATATAAATGGTAGAGAAGCATAGGCGCATGTGCCGAACGACTGAAAGTTTTGCACGCCCACAACAGGCCGCCAGACGACAACTACCCTTGGCAGGTAGAAGAGCGGCACACGACGGGCAGGGGTTTGGGTCTGGTATGCAGAAAGGTATGCAAGAACAGTTGGCTGTATCAAAATATACCGAAGTAGATACAGATTAATGCAATTAAATGTAATGTATGTTAAAAATGAAAAAGAAAAAAAAACAATATTATATAGAAGTATGAAATCAACTAAAACTTGTAAATATATATGTTGAACTACTATTATATAGTTAGTTAGGTGACACTCTCTTTAATTAATAAATAAGAAGAGAAATAAAATAATTTTAGTGTGAAAAAATAGAAATGATATTAAAGTTTTGAATATCAAGAGCACTAGCAGAGCAGATTAAGGGGAATTAATTAGCTGAGGGAGGGAGGTTCGGTAGGCGCGTGGGTGTATTGAGAAATAGAATTTTTAGCTGATACTATAAGCTGCATTATTTTCATAAGAAAAAACTTGGGTTTCCAAATTGATAAGTTTCGAAAAAAATATATATAATGAAAATAACTTGTTGGAGGAAGGAAATCGACAAAGCATAGGATTTTCAAAACTTTATTTAAAGTGATTTACGAAATTTGTTGAGCTTTATTAATTATCATCGAAAATATTTTTCCAAATTATCGAAAGCTTAAATTGTTAAAATTATTTTTTAAATGAGAAATTGGGATTTTTTTTCCAAACTTTACGAAAATCAAAATTTTTTTAAAGAATTAAATTTAAAAAAAATTAAAATTGTTCTATAAAATTCGAATTAAATCAGATTTTGAGACTAGTTTTTGTTTTGTACATAAATTTTTATATGCTTCAAAAAGTTTTCAATTATGTTTCTTAAACTGTTTTTGATTTTTTTAAATTTTTATTTTAATTAAAAAAATTTAATATTTTAATTTTAGTTATTTTTTTTAATCAAATTTTTTTTTTATTTATTCCAACTAAAATTAGGTATTATATCATGCTGAAAATATATTAGAAATAATTAAAAAAAATGTTTGTTTTGTAAACATTTGAATATGCGAAATGTCTTTTCGATTTTTTCCAACTTTTTAAAAAATTTTTTTTTTTTTTTGAAACAACTACTCATCTCATGGTAAAAAAAGTAATGTTAAAAATAAATAATATTATTAAGCTAATGAAATCTTTAACAATAACGACCGCTGTGCGTTCCATAGTTCCAAAATAGAAATTATTATTATTAATTAATTATTAGTCGTAGAATACAAAAATTTATACTTCATTAAAAAAAAAAACACCGCTAGTTAGTTAAGACGCATACTTTGCGAAAGGCTATGGGTTATAATTGTAACGGGACAACTCAACCAGTTAAAATAGTTTTTGTTGTAAGTCAAAGAAATTTTTTTTTTTTTTTTTTGATTTTCTAAATTATTTCATTTGCTTTCTTTTATTTTTTGTTTAATGCCTTAATTTTTTTGCAAGAAGATATGTAAAACACATTTTTTTTGTTGTATACCAAACGATACTTTTCGGATTTAGCAACTCATACCAAAAAAAAAAAAAAAAAAAAAAAAAAAAGAAACATGTTCCTCTGCATATCACCTACATATACTACATACACACACAATAACCGTTAAATGCAAATAAACTCGTAATTAAGATTTCTTAGTTAGCGTTTCATGTAATTTCTAAATAATTAGTTGTAACCTCAAGTTAGTTTTTTAACTACAAACTTAGTAGCTCAGCAGTGAAAGCAGAAATATTCTCCTACATTGAAATTCTAATGAAAAATTAAAAAAGAAGAAGAGATTTTATTAAGAACTGGGTTACGTAGAGAATGGTTTTGGGGAACAGCATTGACTCATACAGTGGTTGCTGTTGTTGTTTTCTGTTATTTTGAGCGAAAATCGAATGTTGTTGACGATAGGGAGAGAGAGTGGTGGAGAGGGGGGAGAAGAGAGTGGTGTGTATAAAGAGAAATGGGGGAAAAATTGATAAATAATTAAAAAAACTTAATTAATGTGTATGTATGTATTTGTATTTATATAAAATATGTACATATAAGTTATAGTAATTAGAAATTATCGTTTAAATACTGGTAAACAAAAAGAGCTAAGCAGGAAAGAGGAAGAACAAAAATGAAGAAAAACAAAAATAAGAAGAAAAAAATATTAATTTATATGCTTTTAAACAAACAAACAAACAAAAAATACAGAAAGAAACAAGAAAAAAATTAATAATCAATTATAAAGGATTTGTGTTGTGGTTTTATTGCAAATTTTATGCGTAACTCTGCTGTGTTTTTGTCGTTGTCGTCGTCGATTTTTTCGTAGAGTGAGAAATGTTTTTCTTTTCACCAGCCCTTATTGCAATCTTTTGCAACAAATTTTCAAAAAAAAAAAAAAAAATTTTTTGGAAATAAAAAAAAATGCTTTACATCTATATAGCGCGCTCTCAACGGTGAGCGCCGCATCTGCAAACGAAATACGAAACTAGCCAGAAAAAAGAGAAAAGTTGATTTTTTTTTTATAAAAAATATATAACCATAAATATTATTTTCTGCTTGCGAATTTTTTTTCAATATCTGTTTTGGTGTCTCTAATTAAAAAACTACAAACTCTGTTAGTTTTACATTTTTTTATTTAGTAACCGCGTAGTTGTTTTTAATAATAATAATATTAAAAAAAAAAGCACAATAACTTGAAAAAAAAAAAAAAAATTAAAAAAGAAAATCGAAAATTAAAGGAAAAAATTATTTGAAAAAAGAAAGCATATTACTGCATAAAAACAATTTAGATTATTAAAAAAAATATTAATAACTTCAAAATATATTAATAACTTCAAAATATATTAATAAATGAAAAATTATTAAATAAATTAAAAAATATTTAAAAAATGAAATTTTTTTAAAATAAATTTCAAAGAAATAAAAAAAAAAAAATTGAAGTAATTGTGTGTGTTAAATGGCGAAAGTGTAGACACCGGAGTATTTGTTGTTGTAATGTTAAAGAGCGCACTTAGAAGCCTAAGAGTTATTTTTTTTTTTTTCAATAATGACTGATTTGACTTGTTTTTCTTTTTTTTTTTGCTTGCTTGCTTGGGCACCAAAACAGTTGCACCACCACAAATTATTTAAAGAAAAATATGTAGATTAATTGAAGATTTGAAAAAGAATTATAATTTTTGTTTTGAAAGAAATTAACGTAAAATTTTTAACTTGAAAAAATATATCTATTATTTTTTTAATGAAAAAATGTTGAAATTAAATTTTAAATTGTGAATATAACTCAAACCTAGAAGCTTGAAAATTTCAAAATTTTTAGAAAAATAAAACAAAATTGAATTCAAAATTTTTGGTTAAAATTAAATTAATTAAATTAAAAATTTATTAAATTAAATTATAAAATGAATTAAATTAAATTTAAAAAATTAATTTAATTAAATTAAAAAATGAATTTGATTTAATTAAAAAAATAATTTAATTTAATTAAATAATTAATTTATTAAAACTAATTAAATTAAATTAATTAACTTATATTTAAAAGAATTGATTTAATTTTATTAAAAAATGTAATTAAATTAAATGAAAAATTAATTAATTTAATTGAAAAAATTAATTTAATTTAAAAAATTAATTTAATTAATAAAAATTAATTTAATAAAAATTAATTTAATTAATAAAAATTAATTTAATTAAAAAATTAATTCACTTAAAAATTAAAGTTACTTAAATTCAATTTTAAAATATATAAACTTATTATAATTTTTCGTTGAAGTAAATTAAATAAATTATTTAAAATTAAAAAAATTCTTAAGTCAATTTAAATTTCTCTTCAAAATATGTAAAAAAAAACCATAATTTTTCATAATCCAAATAATACAATATTTGTGTGTGTGGTGTTAAAAACAAATAAAAGAAATTAAAAACGTTAGAACTCGTAGTTCTTAAATAACTTTCACACAACTAAAGAAAGGAAGAACAAGAAAAAAAAGATATGCGAAAAAATCGTCAGCAACATTCGTTAAAACATTGCAAAGTACAAAGAAAAAAGTTTGTAATAAATGCTGCAACACAACAAAATGCGTATTACGCATCAAATTTGTATGTGTGTGTTGTTGTTGTTATTATTGCCGAAAGCTCTTCTCAGCGCTTACTTTAAGCAAATTTCATAGAAAAATAGCATTTATAAGAAGAAGAAAAAAAGAAAAGAAATAACCAAACCAAACACCACCAAAACAGATTGAGAAAATAATATTTATCGTTATGTATTTTTTTTTATTCTTTTCTTTCGCAACACCTCGTACTTCGTTCGTCAAATTCATTACTTGACTGATGTCGCATTCCAACGCAATTATTCGGCACCCGAAAAAATTGTTCACTCTCGGATTGTTTGCTTTCCAAAATGCGCGAAATTTATGTTTGGTTTCCCTTGATGACGCGGCGCTTTGGTGTGATCAATCTCATGCACGTTCTCTATGTATTATCTTCGTATAACCGTCATAGATTTGGATATCGGACAACACTCTGGAGCAAATGCCGGTAAGTTTAATTTTCTGTTGGTATTTAAAAAATATTACTTTTCTACTAGAAAATTAGGCCACAATTTTTTGTTTTTTACCTCTCGGTATGCAAAGTTGCTTTCTTTGTACCAAATACGATTTTTTTCCATTGTATGCCTTCAATAGCTTACCGAATTCCATCTTTAAAGTCTTGAATTGATATTAGTACCGTATTTTCCAGGTGGCCTCAAAGAAAGACGTTACAAGATGTTAATTCTTAAGATATTGGGTATCAATTGCGATCACCTCTTCGAGAGTTAACACGGTCGGGAAACTTTTTTTTTCGATGGTTTCGCTGCTTGTGTAGCATATAGAACCTTGTTGAAAGTAAACATTCTCCAGGTGCACACCATCCAATTCTTATTATAGAAAATAATTAATAATCTCTTGATAGCGCAATCCATTCACCGTAAATCATGCTACAGTCTCATTTTCGAAAAAGTATTGCCCACGTTGAGGACGGGCTGGCTTTTCAATAATAAATCTTGGATTTTTCCCAGCACCAGATATTTTTTGCAATGAAATATCGGATCATTTTCATGTATTTCAAGGACCCAATTAGCAAATACACGACGTTGTTGGGAATCGGCCGACTTGAGTTTCGGCGTGTAGACTTAGCTTTTGAACACATTTATATAGCGAGCCGTTTACCTCAAGACTAGCGGAGGTCCTCGCATCACTGGTGTACAAGCGCTGCTAGAAGATTCTAGTGAATACTTAAACTAATTGTTCCGTTAGAGCTGTCTCTCTTTCAGCTGTGTCCCACGGGATGGTTACCTCAACTCGCACAACTTTTGCTTACGTTTGCATGGGTTGGTGAGCGGAAGACTCAAGTGTTCGAATTGGGCATAAACTTGAAACTTTAACTGCTAACACACTCAATACAAGAGACATTCTCCTTTAGAGTTCCCTGCTTTTCGATAAATTTGTAGGCGCTCAAAGCGCTGAGACAGTTCACAGTGACAGAATGCCCAGCGCGAGCCAACTCATCCACCTTTTCATTGCCTTCCGCATCGGTGTAATCTGAAGCCCGTGTTTTCCTTCTTCTAACACAGATAGGGTTTGAGTGGACTCATTCAATTGACTTAATTACCTCCTGGTTGAAAAACGGAATACTCCCTGGAATGACGATTGGCACTCTAGTAAACCCCACAATGTCGGGTGGGAGGACAGAAAATACACTTCCCAGGATTTAGAGACCTCACGACGAGTAGAGATGAAAACACTCAAAGTCTGATTGGATATTTGAAAAATGTCCCACTAGGGTATTGGTATGTGGTATTCGGAAATCATTAAAACGGCGGATTATTGATGCGCTCGCTATCCTAGCTCGACCCTGACAACCGAACTCTTGTATGTCAAGAGTCGCCTCTTAATACTAATATTTAATGTTGTTAAGCAATCGACTCATCAAATATCCTTTGGCATTTAGTTCAACCCTTTCGAAACAGGTCGATTTCTGATCCAAAAGTTAGATAGACCTCTCCCGCTCATAATTCGAAAAGGAAACTTGGTAGTTATTACCTTCTAGATATACGCAAAGAGCACACTTCGTTGGATAAAACCCCAACGAGTTCACTTGAAACACAAAAATATTTGCTTTCTCCAGTCACTAAAAAATACCTTCTTCTTCGTACAGATGTGGTGTCCACCCACACCGCCTCAAGATGACAACGACATATACATCGATTACTCGCTAACATTCATGTATGAGATGAGTCCGATACCGGAAACCGAATTACCGCCCGTCTATATTAAGAAGGACTACAAAAGGTCGCGTGGCGATGCAGGTTTTACTTTAGACGGCAATCGTCGTCCCTTAAAAATGCGACGAGAGGATAACTATGTAGCGCCTCGTTCAATATTTGATCGTCCATCGCCGGCCATAGCGCGTATACGTCGCGATCTGAAAAACCAACGTTATCGCGGCGTCTTCAAACCGAACGTGCAGATACCCGGACTGAAACCACAAACCCCACAGAAACAGCTGGTGGAACCGGAAGGCATGACTGAGTGGACCATCTTCGAGGATATTGTTATACTGCATGTGTTGGTTAATTTGCAAGGATTGCCTTGTAACTTAATGGTGCTCTCACCCGGGCACACGCCCAATTGGGATTTGGTTTCGGAAATTGTCAATTTCCAGTCGAAAACATACCGTTCGCCGAAGCAATGTCGTTGGCGCTACGAGATGGTCATACAACCGCGCGAGGAGGGTAAATTTGTGGAGAGTCCAAAGAAGCAGAAGAAGATGAAAGCGATGCTGAAGTCTGAATATCTTAAGGGGCCACTGCGTTATCTGCGCGCCACACACCTTTACGTGAACGACAACAATCAAACATTCACGAAGCTAATGCGTTCGCGTTTCGACTGCATAAAGGCGGCATATCTGAAGAAGGCGCCACCACCCAAGCGTCACTACACCTCGTCCAGCCCAATGAATCCCAAGCATATGGAAGTGCTGCAAGAGTTCGGCATAAGCAATTACGACCAGCCGATTTCGCCGCTCAACATTGCCGCTATGAAGGCGAATAAGATACGCGAGAAGCAGCGCAGCCAATGCCCACCCCCGCCGCCACCGGTACCCACACAGAGTGTACCTGTACAACAGCAACAACAACAGATACAACAACAGCAGGCAACCGCCACGGTTGGGCAGGTGCAGATACAAGAGATGGTTGTGCAACAACAACAGCAAAGCGTCAACTCAGGCAACACGACGACGCTACAGCAGGCCGGTGGACTGCACACACAGCAACTGCAGATTCAACACATACCCAGCAGTAGTGTACAAGGCGTCACGCAACAACCAACCGCTACCGCCATTGTACTGCAGCATACAGGCACGTTGCCGGTCGCACACCAGCATCAATCCGGCGGCAATGCGTCAACGCAATCACAGCAGCAGCAAATATTGCGAGCGGGCATGGGCAATACGCAGATTGTAAAAGCCATAGTGGCGCCGCAATCGGGTCTGCTCACAGCCGGTCAAATGCAGCAGTTGACCCAGCAGACCGGCGCGCAACATGTCCAGCTGCAGCAGCAGGGTGGTAACGTTGGCACCTCCTCGACAGTGTCGGTAGTGTTAACCACGCCCGTACAAACCCTACCTTCCAGCGTGCAGTCGGCGCAGCAGCACGGGCAGTCGTCCACCGCTCAAATAGTATCGATTTCACCGCAAACGATCGTCTCCAGTGGCGCGTCACAAAATGGCAGTAGTATTGTGCAGACAATACCATCTCAAACACTACCACAAGTAGTGTCCGTCTCACAGTTAGCCACCGTGGGCACAGTTCTCACAACCTCGGCCAACTTGCAGCCCAGCGCGACCGTCACGACCCTCAATCCATCCGCCTTGCGTGCACAACGCATCGTTGCCGCAACCGCAGGCACGTTGCAGGATGTCGTGCTGCAACAGCGCAGCGGCAACCCCAGTCCAACAATCGTCTCCATGTCAAATCTGGGTCCCAGTGTTGCGGCGGCACAATTCCAAGCGACACAACTACGTCTGGCCTCCATGCCCGGCACTTCGCAGCAGGTCACTAAAGTGCCGGTCAGCACACTGCAACAGGGCGGCAAACTAACAGCCAATGTCGGTGGCAATCAACCGCCGCACATACAGCTCTATCGCCAGCGTCAACAACTGAAGGTGTTACAAACCTCCACCGGACAGGGCGGAGGTCAAACACTCGTGCAGACTGCTAGCGGACAAACCGCTTTGGTGAACGCTGCCGGCACCATCATACAGGGTAGTCTGGTACAAACGGCCGGTGGCCAGGCCACGATGCAGATGCAAGGTCAGAAGGTCGCTGTAGCCACAGTGTCCTCATCGAATATGGTTGCGGCACCGAGCGGAGGAGTGGCTACCTCCGTGGCGACAGTGCAGGTGGCTCACCAAGGTCGCACACAATTCATCAAGCAAGTCGGCGGCAAGCAGACAATCGCACGTCAAATGGGCGATGACATGGTGCTGGTCAAGCGACAGGTTATTGGCGCACATCAGAAGGCGCAAGTGCTGCAGCAGGGGCAGATCTTCAATACCACAGCGACGACTGCGCAGGGCACCACAGTACAATTGCAACAACAACAGTCGCAAAGCGCCAGTGCCCAGCAACAGTTGCATACGCAACAGCAGCAACAACAACAGCAGGTGCAACAAGTGACGGCTCAACAAATAGCGACACTCGTGAAGACCTCCTCTGGTGCTGGTATTGTGCAGCAGGGTGGCGTCGGCGGTGTCACCGTGTCAACTGGTGGTGGCCAACAGCAGGGCACCACCGTTAATATGGCTCTTTCGCATATCAAGCCGGGCGGACAAATAAAAGTCACCACCTCAATGGCGAATCAGGCTCAGATGCGTCAATTGCATATGCAACCGTTAAATATGCCACGAAAAATCAATCGTATGACACAGATCGCCACCGCTGCGCAGGCGGGTCAGCAGGTGAGCACTTCGGTGGGTCAGTCACAGTCTGGTGCGACGGTGGTACAACAGCCCAAAGGCGCAGGTGGAGTGCAGACGCAATTGGTCCATATTCAGAACACAAAATCGCTGCCCAGCTCGGTGACGGTGCAGCAAATACAACAGGTTATGCGGCAGGGGCAGCAGGGCTCACTGGCTGCAACGGGCCTGGTGCTGAGCAAGACCAGTGTGGGACGTGTTATACCTGTGTCGGTGGCATCGCAATCTAATCAGCGACAGACCATACAGGTGAGACGAAATGTGAGTGCCGAGTTGAGAGAAGTAAAACAACATTTTTTTAATAAGTAGTTAGAACAAAGAGTAGAATAGAAGAATAGAATAAATAAAATGAAATAAAAAATTTAACTAAAAAAACGAGACAAAACGGTAAATAAATAAAAATGATAATAAAATTTTTATTTTATTAAACTAAAAATAATAAAAAAAATTAAAAAATAAAAAGATAATATTATATATAAAAAAATAAAAATTAAAAAAAATATTAAAAAACAATTAAAATACAATTAAAAAATTAAAAAGATTGGAAAAAATTTGAAAAAAATAAAATATTTAAAATAAGAAAAAAAACCAAAATAATAGTATAAAGTTAGTCAAAAACTAAAAAAATTAATAAGTACTAATAAAAAAATAAAAATAATAAAAAGAATTAAAAAAAAAGTAAAAACTAAAAAAAAATAAAAAAATAAATGATAAAAAAATAAATGATAAAAAAATAAATGATAAAAAAATAAATGATAAAAAATAAATGATAAAAAAATAAAAGATAAAAAAATAAAAGATAAAAAAATAAAAGATAAAAAAAATAAAAATAAAATATAAAAAATATAAAAAATAAAAAAAATAAAAAAATAAAAAAAAAAAATAAAAAAATAAAAAAAAAAATAAATAAATAAAAAAAGATAAAAACAAAAAGTATAATGATAATAAGGTAAAAAATTTTGATAAAAAATAAAAAAGATAAAAAATAAAAGAGATAAAAAAGAAAAAAGAAAAAAGATAAAATATTAAATGAAACTAGAAAACTGTAAAAAAAATTTAAGTGATTTTAAAAAAAAATTTAAATAACAATAACCTTTAATTTTTAAAAAATAAAAAAATACATAAATTAAAAAATGAAAATAAAAAATTAAAATCTCTTAAAACTTAATTACTTATAAATTAAACAAACTTTATAAAATAAAAATAAAATATAATAAAACAAGAAAATAAGTTGAAGTAAATTAAAATATAAACTATTAAAATCAAATAATAAGCTAATAAAATAAAAAGAAATATAATTAATTGCATTTAAATTGACAACAATGGCAACATATTTTTCAATATATTCTTCTCCCACTCTCTTTACACGGCAATAGGTGGTTTCAGCCGCTTCTGCACAAGCACTCGCCGCCGGCAATCTCCGAGCACATGTCGCTGGCGGTCAAAATATTGCTGGTACAATAAAAGTGGGCACAACCAGCGGCAGTCAATCGCAGACCCAACAAGCTATACATCTTATACAACAACAAGTGGCTGCCCAGCAAGGGCAACGACAAAATGCCAGTCCGGTGCGTCTACAAACAGCTGGTGGAAATTTGGTAGCTGTTGTACAACAACAAAATATACAACAACAGCACCAACAACAACAAAGCCTTACATCGTCCAGCATAGCGAGTTCTTCGGGTGCGGGACAAGGTGAAGTGATGACCATAACGCAAACCATAGCCACAACGAGTGGTGGTGGCGGTCAACAGCAGCAGCAACAAACAGCGCAACAAGCGACAACACAGCAGGTGCGCACATTGATGAAGAAGAAGATCATGCAAATACGCAGCGAAAAGGAGTAGATAAACTGTTGCTCCTGATTGTCTTTTTTCATTATTATACAAAAGAAAAAGTACATATATATGGATAATGTAATGAATTCTATTAGGAAATCAAAGCCAATTGTAATATAGTGAAATTAACAATTGGTTCTAAAAAAAAAAAAACAAACTTTAAAAAAATCTTAACGAGTATTATACGCATAAACATCATGATTAGTTTTAAATATTTATATTTATAAACTGGCTAACGCATAAAAACGAAAAAGAAATTCATGAAAATAGTAATAGAGTAAACAAAAGCTTAACAAATTTGCTATTGTTTTTGTTTTTTTTTCAACATAGCTTGTTAATTATTTAAACTAAACAAATAAAATCACATATGTTTCCATATTTTATGATTAATAAACACAATAAATTTATGAATATTTTTTACCATTAAATTAATTATTCTATCTACTCTGTACTATTCGATGTAATTACATAATTTTAAGTAAATATTTTTAAACTACAAAATTACATTTTAATCGTATGTAATAGTGTGCTAAGCCGTATATAAATAATTATTCCCAAAACTTAATAAAATTAATGCATACAAATAGAAGAATTAAAAAAAATATATTAGTGGTTTTCCTGGAAAAAGAGAATGGTATTAAAATACTAATAATAAAAATTACAATAGATAAAAAAATTGAAATGAAAGAATAAACGTTAATAAAAATAAAACAAAATTTAGAAAAAGAATAAAAAAAATGAAAAAAACAATATAAAAAAAATTAAATTAAAAAAAAAAAAAATTAAATTAAAAAAAATAAAAAAAATTAAATTAAAAAAAAAATAAAAAAAATTAAATTAAAAAAAAAATAAAAAAAATTAAATTAAAAAAAAATAAAAAATAAAAAAAATAAAAAATAAAAAAAAATAAAAAAAAAATTAAAAATAAAAAAAAAATAAAAAATAAAAAAAAATAAAAAAAAATAAAAAAAATAAAAATAAAAAATTAAAAAAAAAATAAAAAATAAAAAAAAATAAAAAAAAATAAAAAAAAATAAAAAAATAAAAAATAAAAAAAAAAATTTAGAAAAAAAAAATGGGAAGAAGAGGAAATGAGATAAAGAGAAAAATAAAATATATAACAAAGGAATCATAAAAAACTTTAAATCGAAATTGAAATAAAATAAAATCAAAAAAATAAAACAAAAATTAGAAAAAGTATAAAAAATGAAAGAAAAAAAAATAATGAAATAAAAATAAAGGATAGAAATAATAAAGAATAAAAAATTAAAAATAAAATAAAACATAACATAAAGAACAAAGAATAAAACAATATAAAAAAAAATAAAAATTAAGCAAAATATATAAATAAAACGATTAAAAAAATATAGGAGAAACAATTTGAAATAAAAACTAAGATAAATTAAAAAAAAAAAACAAAAAAAAACTACAAAATATAATACATAAAATAAAATGAATTTTCATTTAAATTAAAAAAAAAAACAAAAAAATGGTAAAGTAAAAATTGAAATCAATTCAAAAAAGTGGAAAAAATAAAGTAAAATATAAAATGAAAGAAATAAAAAATCAAATAAAATAAAATGAAACAAATAAAATTTATGGAATTAAAACAAAAGAATTATAAAAAACAATAAATGGATTAAAAAACAAATTAAAATAAAATAAAATGAAAAAATAAAATAAACGGAAAAGAAAAAAATAAAAACATTTAAAAATAAAATAAAATGTAAAAATAAAATAAACGGAAAAGAAAAAATAAACAAAATTTAAAAATAAAATAATATGTAAAAATAAAATAAAATAAATAAAGTAAAATAAAATAAAATGTAGAAATAAAATAAACCAAACAAAATAAAATGAAATTAAATTAAACAAATAAAACAATTATTAAATAAATATTAGACAATAAGCCTCATTGACATGCCATGTTCTAATCTGAGCCGTATTTCTGTTCAGGACAAGGCCATCGGCAACACAATGCAGATATTCTAACACAATAACTCAGTATCCTTGTAGTTCCCAGCGATTTACGTCAAGAAAGCTTAATACGCTGAATCTGCTTATCTGCCCCATACTCGATAGAACTCCAAAGACAGTATGTTCTTTTTGTTTTTGTAGCGGCTAGATAACTACAAAAATTAAGCTAAATTTTCTAATTGTGGTCGATCCTCGGCAGGGAATGTCAACCTGTCGGAGCGTATTTCTGACATGACATGCCTGCTTAACCGCTGATAAATTCTTGAACCGCTAACCCGCAGGAGGCTTAGTGTGCCTGCGCGCAGACTTTGGGATCTGTCACTTCAAAACCATCTCAAATAAAAAAGAAAACAATATGCCTTTGCGGGGTAGGGGGTGAGAGGCGACTAAACTGTAAAAAATTTCGCGACAGTTGGGTCTTTAAACAGAAATAAACCGGACTTTTATCCGGTCAAGTACTATTATTCTTCAAATAATGTTTTTTTAAGGGTAGAACAACAACAACAAAGTGAAAATGCCTTGACTGTTCTATTGATAGTTAATTGGGAGTGGCTCTGCTCTGTTTTAAGTTCACACTCCTTTGGCTGAATTTTGTCACCCTAAGAGTCCTTTCTGCTAGTTATTACTTCGGCCTTCTTGTTTATTTTATGTTTGTTTATGTATTGTAAACGAATCTCGGTAATCTCCAATCGTTTCGCAATCTTTGGCTTGTGGCAAGCTCTTCACAATCTTTTCAGCTCTGAGAGCTGTAACGTCCAAATCTACGTAAAACTGTAATTTTATTTTACATTTTATCAACCAAACAGTCGGACCTTGTCAAATTTCTTTATCCACGCTTAAGTGCTATTAATTTAAACAATGCTAGCTCCCTCGGAAAAGCCCTCGTATAAACATGTTTAAGACACTTAGCACACACTACACTGTGGTAAACAAAAATTTATACGTTAGCCGGCTCTTACTAACCCTAACAGCTGACGTCAGTTTGTCATAGCAACGCCACTCCCTTACGTAGGACGACAACAAAGCAGCAAATGCACACTGACAGTGGACGAAAATGAAATTTTTCACTTGAGCTACTCTCTGTCAATTTCCAACAGCTGTATTAGTTCTCAACGAGTTGGACAAAGTCGCTGGACGTAATGTCACTCTTCAATGTCTGCAACTGGTGGCACACACAGTGTTCCGACCTTGAGGAGAACTACGATGTGGCTAGTTTGCTGTGTGCACGCTTTGGACTCGATGAGAATGAAAAGGATTATGTTGTGGTCGGTTCGCATAGTGGTAATTTAAGTATTTTCTATCCACGTCTCGAACAAAATCGTCGCATAGAAGATGGCAATGCTTTTCGTCCGACCGATTTGTTATTGGAAGTGAATCTAAAATTACCCATACTGGGTATATATGCAGGACGTTTTAGTGGGTGAGTTACAAGTATGCGGGCATTCAGCACTTGAAATGTTTTCTAACATTACTATGTATAATGTAAAATCTTCTTATGCAGTGGTCAATTCGCTGATGAGCGACATAACCAACTCGCTGTGCTGCATCCACGTTCCGTTGCCATCTATAAGCTCAACTCCATTGGTGGCGTGGCTGAGCATGGCTCACAGTTGCGTCTGCAGTCTTTGGCCGACTATAAGCTGAAACGTGGCGCTTTGGCTTTAACTAAGGGTTCATTCGGGCGGGTTAAGGGTCGCGAATTCTTTTGCATTACACACTTGGATGGCACTTTGACGTTTCACGAGCAGGATGGCATTTTGTATGAATGTCAATTGCCGGGTAATCGGGCTCTCCCCGTACCGGTTGTTTATTGTGAGCGCACAGATAGTTTCCTTCGCTTCACCGCCGGTTGGAATCTGGAGTGTTTTACGTAAGTTGGACTACGTTTTTTTTAGCTGCTCAAAAGATTTTTACCTTTATCTCTTCTGATACAGCTATCAGGATCTTTCGCACTCGTCGCTCAATCGTTCGGAGTTTAAGCCTTCATGGTCGGTTTGTATTGGTGAAGGTATTGTCGATATTTGTGTCGTGCAGACGAAGTCGTGAGTAATCTTATTTGTTAAACTATTCTTTGCAAGTGAAGTAATTTCCTCATTTTTTTTACTACAAAGCACTTCCGCTTCGATTATGATTTTGGGTGAGCGCAACTTTATTAGTCTTACCGATGATGGTGTCGTGGATTTTATACTAAAATTGGACTTCACGCCAAGATGCTTTTATTCCTTCGTTATCGGCTATTACTGGGGTAATGTATCAGTATGATTTTTAATGAGCTTTAGAGCTCACTTTGTGAAGGAACTGTTTGTTCCTAATTTCTGATTGAGCCCACTTAAAGAGATTAACGTGATAGAAACTTATCTACCTTTATTGATCCTACACTTATGATCATCCCGTTATAGAAAAAACCTCGACCGACTAGCAGTTGAAACTCCGTTTCCATGCCGAGGTTTCAGTCCATTTAAACTCCCATTCGTATTAGCCATGATATACAGTTTCTAGCTTTCTTTTCACCAGTTAGAAACGAGGATGGAGATAAAGATATCCTTTGGCCAATTTCTCCACTATATATGTATATATTATATATTTTTTCTCAACATGAAGCTCAACTGTACATCCTCACAGCGCATTCTTCACAGGAGTTGTCTGGTAGAGGAAGACTTGATGTTCAAACAAGTACTAAGTGACTAGTGGAACGTGCACCACACCGCATCTTCTGACTTGGTAGACTTGTTAGAAAACCTTCGTTACGGTTGAAATTATTTGAAGTTGCACCGCCACCGGTAGCCGGTTAGCAGTGCACACTACTAAACAGGAGGCAATTTCTCTAATTATTGTCATTCCTCGGAATGGAATGTCACACCCTTAGCGGTATACAGGGGCAGTCTATTTGTTCTATCAAAGACGGCCTTGAAATCGGTGAAGACGTGGTTGGTCTTGTCCAACATTTCGCCCACGGTTTATATCTGGTCTCAACCCCACCTTCTATGCGATATTGAGGAGAGACACCACTATAATTGGCGCAGTTTGTTGGGCTGAGCACACTTAGGTTTGAGCAGTGGATCATGCTTTCGTACGACTAAATTCTGTAAAGAAACTGATGCTTACACTTTGGCCGATTTTCGTCGCCGTATCGACGATTCGGAAATTTTCATAGTCAGGTAACGACACCACTACTCCCTTATCATCTTTTATGATATCGGGTTCACCGTCTCAAAGTATTTCATTCAGCAGCTTGAAGATGTGTTAAGAGTTCAGTATTGGAATTATTGTGGGCAGGTCTCAGTTTTTTATGCTTAGGTATTGAAAGGTGGAGAGTATCTACTCCTCTTCTATTATGAACAAGACTTACTTCCCAGTATTTGGAGAAGACCAGGATCAAACTTGGATCGAACTCATTTTTTTTTTTACAAATGATCGACTACACGAAATAACTCCAATCTTGTCACAAGAAGAAAACGGTACAAAAATATAATATTATCTAAGTGTAGAAAGGACGGTCGTCACAAAGCAGGGAGCCCACAAACGACTACAGACTTCTGGGCTTCTGAGGAAGTCAAACCTGTGATAAACCTTAGGATGAATAGATTTTTCTTATTCGGTTTTCAAGAGGAAGATATAGCTTGTTTTAGGCACAAGCTTGGTCCTATATATACTCTTAAAACAAGTACTAGATCTAATGATCCATGTGTATTTTTTTAAGAATAAGTTTTACTTTACCTCATATTCTCTTTCCACCTAGAACCCGGTGCACGTTTAATAACTGCAATAGCTTCGGCCACGGGCAAACTCTTCATCTATGAAGGAGCTAACATCATATGGGCTGCGCAATACAAAGATGATCCGCCGGTAGCAATACAACGTTCCAACTTAAACGGCTTAGCCGGCGGTATCGTAGCACTCGGTACGACGGGACAACTGCGCATAGGCTATTTGGGCTCCGAACCTTTTGTCTTCAAAGTACCGCCAGTCAATATGGAAGATCTTAGCTTTACAGAAGCACATAAAGAGTTGCAACAATTGGAGGAGGAGATCAAAGCCGCTGTGGATGTATCGGATTTGGAAGATATCGACAAACGCGCTGCTGAAGATGTGCGCATACAATTCACCATTAATGCGGAGACCAAGGAAGATGCTGGTGATGTACTGCTATTAGATGTGCCAGCACATGTCGCGGTAAAAGAATTGCCCGCCGGCACGGGAGTATTGAAATTGCGCTGTAAGATTGAATTGGCTGAGCTGCAAGTCATCTTCAATACAGCCGAAGGTGTACGCTGCAGTCAGGATACGCTCACCTATGTGGATATGACGGCAGGGCAAGTGGAGACGTTGCAGTTTGACTTCTATGTGGATGATCTCTTGCATGTGCATACGACACGAGTTGATGTGATTGTCTCGTTCATAAGCGTTAAAGTTAGTAGCGGCCGTAAAGTGGTTTGGAAAATGATTTTTATTTTTCACTTTTTCTTTCTTTCTTCCAGGGCATACCACGCGTTTTACAACAGTCCGCATATCTACCGTTAAGCATGTTCTACAAGACGCGCCAACCACAGAAGACAGCAAGCATAAAACTAACCTATAATATTACGTCCAAAACCTTAACGCCGAAATTGTCTACATTCTTTCCCGAATTTGTTGCCTCGGAAAGCGAATCACAAGCGCTGGGTCTACTATTACTTTGTCCTGGCGACGAGAAATGTGAAGAGGTTGTGACTATTGTGCTGGCAAAAAACTCAAATCGACTGAGGTTAGTAACCGCCGATTGGTTAGCTCGATGAAATGTTATTGCTTATCAATTTCTCTTTCTTGCTCTCACCTCACTATGCACTTTTAGAATACAATCCGATACCTTAGAGACATTTCCAATGATTTTGGAACGCATCATGAAGGTTGCCTTGGATCATGCCTCGGAGACTTCATTGGGCTTGAAAGGAAAGCGTACCAAAAATGCCATTAATCCAAAGGTGAAAACTCTCATGGCAAATCCAGTGCTGCCCATTCATGCAATTTTACACAAAGTCGATCTACATCGGGAAACCCAAGAGAACATACATAAACAGACGGTAAGTTGAGCACGTTTAATGATTTCCTTTACAACTTCTATACCCAACTCTCTGCTCTTTACATGCTTACGCAGCTTGAACTGGATACTCTGTTGGAGCAATTTAAGAATCTTCAACGTAAACTTCAAGATCATTCGGAGGATGAGTCTAAGGAGACTTTGGTTATGCAAGTTGAGGAAAATTATGATCATCTCATTGCGGAGGGTGATAAATTAATGGAAATAAGAAAGTTGGAAAAGATGTAAGTAAGACTTAGGGGGGTTAAAAAATGGCAGAGAGTAATAGCGTTTACTTCTGAAGTGATTTTCGGTCGGGGACCTCTTCCAATTCGTTGGACACGTCTTGATATTTTTACAATGAAAGCCATTCCCTAATGGCACTCGGAGGGTTTGAGATTCCCTGCAGAAGGGCGATCGCAGTTCAAAAACACATTTCTATATTTTGGTTGCTGGTCCCGGCAGGACTATAGGGTGATCGCGCGCACAGCGAACCACTTGGCTTCTGCATTTACGTATTTTTTGTCTGATTAACTTTGATGTGCGAATGAGCTCATCAGGCTAGCAGCCTTCACAACATTCATGATCTCGAAATCTCTTTGTGATGGTCTTATAAACCAACAACAAAGACTACGGACAGAGTATTGATTTTAAGGGGAAGACACTTATTTAAGAATGAAGCTAAGTGCTAAGATGTTGCAGCTGGACGAATGTAGTATGAAAAACCTTATCGTTGGCCTTAGAGAACTAAAAGAAATTATATTGATGAAGGTAATTAAGCAGATATCTCTGTTCTGCAAAGATATTTTGGCAAAATAAACTTTTATGACGAAATTTTTTAGAAGCTTTGGCTGGCGGGATGCGTACCACCATAACTTATGGCGCAAGTCCAAGACCTGAGAGGCTTGCTCTCTAAGGAATAGTAGACAAATACTCAACGGGACTCAACCTATTCGGAAGGAGGTGCGTTCAGCAAACTCGACCTATTAGCTTAATAGTTCTTTAAGAAAAAACAGTTAATTTCCTAAACTACATGTTCACACGACGTGTCCTGAAACACTATCCTGGGCTTCGGTTCCACTTAAGGTGATTGTTCCCTTCTCTTCTTTCCAAACCCAATAGAAGTCATACTTTTTATCGGTTTTTTTACTTGGCAACATATAAAATTGAAGCTTCTATTTATTTTGGAACCGATTCTGTTCTTAAACAAATGTCTACAGGTGTGGTCTCCACGTTAGCAGCCTGACAAAATATATATCATCTTAATACACTTCTGATTTTGTAACGAAGGTTCTTAAGTTCCGCAGCTGTTCAAGTAGTGAAATCAGCTGGTACATCTCAGTTTCTCATTGTAAAGTGAGAGTAAGCGGGTACGAGTATATCTTGTTGATGGATGCAAATATTCTTCCAGTGAAGCGGCATTGATACTCCTAACCCCTTAGTTTTGAGCAGCCTTTTCCAACACTGACTCTTCTCCCGACGGTTAGAGTCTACTTTTTTCACAACTCAGATAATTTCTGGCACATCGCTTTATCTCTCGCCACAAAGAAGAGGTCTAAATGTTACTCAGCATGGGTCATAACCTGGAGGCTTTTGGCATGTGGCTGCCTGCAACCAAGTCGGTACTGTCATAGAGACAACGCGGATTGAGACTGTGCCTTGTCTAAGTGATGATTACTGGAAGCTGACGTAGTAATCTTCTTTAAGGGAGCAGCACCTCTTATTCAGTCCTTTGAGACCTAATATTTAGAACCGAATAGAGAAAGTAAAATCATCTAAATATGCTCTTTTGTGTGTTCAACTGCTGGCATTTGGCGATGATGATTTACATTGCTTTCTGCCGGCTGCAGGCGAACGAGTCTGTTAGTAGCACGATCACAGTCAGCGCACTCTCGTACTGACTCTCGCGTCACTTTTGTCAGTCGTAACTATGAAATCGTAGATAATAACGTCTGCCTTGCACAAATAACAATGTTAGGCTTGAGCCCAACACAGAAACACAGGTGCCAGTACGGACTGAGTGGATAATTGAAATTTAAAGCTTTCCCCCGAGACGATCTAGCACCAAACTTTACAAGTCGTTCATCACTCGCGTTCTGCTGTATGTCGTACTCGGCTCTGGAAGTGTGCGGGCGAAAGTTTTTATGGAAGTTTTGCGGTTTTTTTTGAACATTGAATACCGCAAACGATGGAACGGAAGGCAGCACGAGTTATACCTCGACTTTGACATGACCCATTCCAGTTTTGAAAGTATTCGATGCTGTGCCCGCCGGTGGTAGCTGGCGCCGAGCAATTAAGAGAAGAAGTGCTATTTTTGGCTCAGCTATAATCGTGTAAGCGTTGCCTACGCCAATCTGGAAGAAGAACTATCAAAATGTTTCTATTTTTTGGAAACCCTGAACTATGTTACTGCAATTCTATTCTCTTTAAATCATTTTAATTTTTACCTTACAGACAACGTTGCGATCTCACTTGTGCAATCTCTGTAGCCACCTCACTTATTGGCGCTCTGCACATGGAGGAGAAGCTGGTGAACGTTATTTGTGGGGTGCTATGCACGCCAATTGAGGATTGGATTGAGTTGGTGCGTAAATTCTAATTCAAAAATTTATTTAAAAACACGTTAGACTCACTAAAGAATTTTCTCTCTCTCTCTCTCTTCCTGAAACAATAGAGTTGGGAGGAGTCCATGTCGCCCGGCATTGATATGCTCTACCACTATGGTCCACTCAATCGCGTCCGGAATAGTGAGGGCGTGAATGCAATCGAAACGAATGTGACACATGAAAATTTCGATTATAATCGTTTTCGGCGACACACACTCTCCATACTCGAACGCATACAACGTATTGCCGCCACGGAGGTGGGTGGCGAAGAAACAGAGGAGAATAACCAAAAAACGGTAGGTGAGAGCGACTCAGAGAAAACAGTGGATATTAGTGGACTCAGTGAGTTGTTGGAAGTTTTGCCCAACGAACAGAGATCCAAGGTACATATGGTGCGTCGTAGTACGCTCGAAGCGGTGGAGGATGACGAGGAAGAGGATGAGGATGATTTGCGTAAGGTTGGCTTTAAGAAAGAGTATGGCAGTCAACAAAATAGATCGGGTGAGAATTCCGAGTGGGTGAATGAAAATTATGAGTTGCCAACATCGGAGGAATTATTCAGTGATTTGGGTATTTGGTGGTAGGCGAGGAAGAGTTCTTGCTAATATATACTTAAGCACATAAATATTTGTTGTTGATATTAAACAGAAATCGTAACGAAACTTACGATAAATAATAAATCTAAAGAATGCTAATTTATTTGTTTTTTTTTCGTCACTTCTCACACTCCTATGTCTACTTGTAAATATAATTATATGTATGTGTATATTTCCTTGAATAAACATATGTATGTATGTATAGATCTGCTTTAATTCTCATCAATTTGCCACTAATTGCTCAGAATAGGGGCATGTGTGGAAGTTCCCGCATATGAGGAAAGTTTTTGACGGTCATTCAACTGATCTTGGAACCTTCTACCAGTCGTCGCATAGAATTTTCCTGCAGTAACTTCGTCGGCCAGCTTTTCAAGCTATTCATACTTACGCTTCTCGGCCTCATCCCTTTTTTCCTGCAAATCTTCCTTGCTGAATTCTTCAGCTATCGGTATTTGACACACCCTGAACGTGAAGTGGTCGATCGCAGCGTTGCGAGGTAATCAGTCTGTATTCTCTCCACTGCAGTTCGACATACCTCATATTACCAGCCCTTTTCTGCCTCTGCCGAAAACCAATTGCTTCCGGAGCGGCGGTAAGTAGTGAGTTTGAGATGCCGTTCCGCAGTTCCCTTGCATCGAGTTGCTTAAGAGTGCTCTCAGAAACAGTCTGTTCTAGTCAAGTAGAAAATCGTTCGGCTATGTGTTGTGATTGCAGCTCTTCGTTGTCGATCGTTCCTTGTGTTTACTGATGGGTGCTCTTTACTGCACAGGTGCGGATGTAAAACATTGCTGCCCCAAAATAATTATCCCAGCTTTTAGAACCTACGCATATCTAGAATACTAGAGACATCTCTTCCGTCAATCACAAAAACATTGATTTGGTTGCACGATTTTCGATCCGGCGACAGCCGTCAGGCGATGTTTCGTCATGTAAGCTAAATTCTTGATTGTTGTGACAAAATTATTTCTTTCCCGCCCTCCAAGTTGCCGAGCACAATTTCCACATCATGGCGGGGCAGCGCTCACAGAAAGCGTTTTTGGTCACATCGTTCTTCCCTTCCGTCGGGTTCCGCCAGCGATATGCTAAATAAGTTCGCTTGGATGCGGATTATGTCAAGATTTTCATCGACCGGATTGAATACCTGTACTCGCCTGTGTACCGGAGAGAGATTCCCTCCCACCATGAAATCGGCACCAAGTTTTGCGCTCCTGTAAATGGCCGCTGTATAGATTTCACAAGAACCTACTCGCTTTCGTCCTTGTCCCCTACCATCGCACTTCTTGAATAGCGAAGACGACTAGGGACTGTAGGGGTCTCCATATGTTGGAAAAAAGTCATGACGCTCAGCCGAAAATCGCTTCAGCGGTTACAAAGTGCCAAATATATATATATATATATATATTGTGGTTGAGTCTCAGCCTTTACCTCGCCTCAAAACCAATGTTTGTTGGCTACTCAGAGGGCACTTGTAAGACCGGACTGCTTGAACCATATAAAAAAGAGTTGTTCATGTCCACGCGTTCTAGAGTATACTTGTTGTATAGGGGGAATATTTCTTCAGCCTGCTTAATTGCATAGGGAGCTGGTTCTACATCCTTATACGGACAACTCAAAGTCGCAATCGAATATGATGGAGAAGACGTTCCATTACCTGTCTAGAACGAGGTCTGAATACCTATTGAACGTTTAAATAACAACAAAGTTGTTGTAGCTAATGACTTCCCGGCATGACTGTGAAGAGCTGGCAAGATACATGCATCAGCTTATTTATATATGGATAGATAAAAGCATGCCTGACGATTGGAACCCAACGAACCGCTACAACATTGGTACCAAAGTGTACTCTGCCCAAGCTATAAGAAAAGGAGACCCCACGGTCTGTGCCAATTATCGTAAGATTAACCTCCTAAATATCTCATATTTGTACATTATATCTTACAGTCAACAGAGAGAATAGATCAAATCAGTGTGGCTTTAGGTCTGCTAAATCCACCATGGGTGCTTGAAAAAAGGATCTACACACACCATCTGTTCGTCGATTTTATAGCTATATTCCACAGCAAAATAAGAGACTGCTTCTACGACGCTATATTTGAATTTGGTATCTCTGCTAAACTGATAAGGCTGTGTAAACTGACAACATCAGAGGCGCAGTCAAAATTTGAGAAGAGCCTCTCCGAGCGGTTAGGCCAACAGGTAGTACATAGGACTGAGGAGGTTGATTAAAAGTAAAGTCCCCTCTCGACGAATCAAAATCAAACTCTCCAAGTCCCTTTTCATACCCATCCTGCTTTAAAGTGCAAAGGCGTTGCGCCGCCGATGGAACGATGAGCTGCCCGAGTTATACGATGACATCACCATTGTAAAGTGGCAATGGCTACGCTGGCTAGGTCATGTTGTCCCAATAAATGAACTCTACTTAGAAATACTCGAAAATATTTGGTGCAGTACCCGCTGGTAGAAGTAGAGAAAGGGGAAAAAGCTTGTTCGTCCCCCCATTTATATATCTCTCTCTCCCTCTCTCTCCCTCTTTCTCCCTGTCGTTCAGCAACCCAACAATATTTTAATTGATCAGTAGATAATAAAAAATATTTATTTTTATCAGCAAATTAATAAATAATTTATTTCGACTTTAATTACAAAATTATAACTTTTTTTCTGCTTGCACTCGGAATAAATATTTTTTTTTAACCAATTACATATTGTAATTCATGCAACCGGTTTTTGAAAGGCAGCTACGAGTTTATCGTTTCTTTTTCTCTTTTTTTATTTATTTATTCATTTTTTTTTTTTGCTTTATTCACGCTGAACCTATTTCGTTGCTTTAATGTTACTGTAGGTCAAAAGGCGAGAATAATAATAAATAATAATATTAATAAATTCAGTTGATGCTGCGAGTTTATTGAACTTAAAGATGAATGAAAGATGAGAGAAGAACTGTGGTAATACTAGATAATGCTTTAAATCTGTAGAAACAGTAAGATGAAAATTGGTTGAGAGTCGTTTTAGTTTTACCACCTATGCGCAGCCATTTCTATAAGGCTGAAGCTGTGATCACCTCTCGTAAAGGTACTGCTCTAACGTGTTGTCTTCTTCTGTGCAAGCTCTACATTGTACTAGTTTTAGAAGATGATACCTTAAAGATATTTGCGCCTTCAGTACACCTATAAGCATGTTAAGTTCTCATTTGCTTAGTGCTAGCAAGAGTGTGGTCCAAAGTACTTTCGTGATAAGTTTGAGTCGCTCCATGACCTGAAGTATTCCTCCGTGGTACACTGTTTTAAACAACGCTTAAAAGCACTGAAAGGTCTGCGGAAGGCGATGGGGGCAACTTCGCCAGCGCAAGTTAGCACTTTCGTCTGTTTATTATCATCTTGCATTCTTTGCCTCTCTGGATGTTGCCACATATTTATGTGTGATTATGAGCTCTGATAGACCCCGGTCTTTAAAGAACTTTGCTTTCATGTGCATTAGTGAAACGTTGGAACATCAGCTCTGTTTCTGCCTGGAGCTTCTCTGCTAAGTGAAATAGTGGAAGTTAAGAACCTGGCTATACAGACCTTCTTCATCCATGACGATTGCTGTATATATAATATATGTCTTCGAATTCGTGACTCAGCTTCCATGTCACTATTGGCGGCTATAACTTCAAGGTCGTATATAATTTCATCTCCTCGGCGTTGATAACTATTCCCGAAATTTATTAGAGTGATATAAAGAGAGAGATAGACAGAGAGAGAGAAAGAGAGAGAAAGAGAGAGAGAAAGAGAGAGAGAAAGAGAGAGAGGAAGAGAGTTAGAGAAAGAGAGCGAGAGAAAGAGAGAGAGAAAAAGATATAGAGAGATATAGAAAGAGAGAGAGAGATAGATAAAGAGAGAGGGATAGAGAGAGAGATAGATAAAAAGAGAGTGAGAGAGAGAAAGAGAGAGAGGAAGAGAGAGAGGAAGAGAGAGAGGAAGAGAGAGAAAAAGAGAGAGAAGAAGAGAGAGAGAAAGAGAGAGGAAGACAAAGAGAGAGAGAAGGAGAAAGTGAGAAAGGTAGAGAGAGAAAGAGATAGAGATGTGCTTTTGCATTTTCAAATCGGTTTTCAGTGCGAAGACCCACAGATGAATACGAGCACAACTAACTGCAAAACCATATAATACGATTATCACCGGATGTGTTAATTTAAATAACCTGGCCAACAGCGCTTAATTAACGGTTTAGCACACACGTATTGAGGAAATGCTGTCACATTAATCGAGCTGATTAATTGTGCTCACGGAAAGATTAAAAAGAAACGCAACACAAAAAATAAGCACAAAAAATCGCGCAATAAAATACTGAGGCAATAAAAATTGTGTTAAAGGGGTAACAAAATTAAAAAAAAAAAAATATTTTTTTGAAAAACTCAAAAATGAGCAACCGATAAAATAATTCATTTGCAAAACAGGCCTAAAAGCGTTTTTCATTATACATTAAGCAAAATAAAAAGAAAAAAAAAACGAAAAAAAATCAGCAAAAAATTTTATGATTATTTTAATTAGCAAAATTTTGAAAAAAAAAACAAAACTCAACCACCTGCAACAGTAAAATATGAGAGAAATGCGTGTGTGTGAATTGGTTTGGCTTGTTTGATGGTGAGTGGCGAGTTGTGTGTTGCCATGCAACCCAATGATTTTCTCCACCGTTTTCTTGGAGCATTCGTCACGGTGCAACACAAACCACAAAAGACAGGTTTTCAAGCGAAGAACCAAAAAAAAGATATTTTAAAATCAGTTACAACAAAAAATCATATTTAAACAACCCTTACGCGGCGTTATTCATAAATGACGTTTTCGGTATCAACAAAAACAAAAAAAAAAAAAAAAACAAAGAAAGGAGAAAAAATGCATTCGTACATTATGTACTTTAAAGAAATCTTTTGAGTATAAATGTCAAGGTTCTGCCCGAATTGCATTTAATAAGTCACCGTTAATCAACTCATCTGCTAAAATTTTGCATTCATTACATCCAACTGAGCTCCGTTTCGCGTTTTTTAAAAATGTTTTCCAAATCTACACGCACACTTTGTGGATTCCTATACTTCTGCGTCTTCTCGTCATTGCTTTGCATAACCTCCGTACTTTCCTATGGACGGCAGGAACAATTAGATTGGTGTGATCCGGCACTTTGTCCAAATGGCAAGTGGCATGTGGCTTGCAATCACGATGGTGTAAGTAACATATAATAGTTGAATGAGTGGGTTATATGTGGTAAGAAATGCTCTGCGTAAGAGGCGACTTTGCAAGGAGAGTAGACTATAAATCGTGCTTCATAGTGTTTGTGAGAGAAAAGGATACTTGCAATGAAGTGAAGGTGTTTTATTAGCCATACTACGAAGTTACCTACGTTCTTAAAGTTATTACTGTAAAAAGTGTCGTGGGATCCAGGCAGGTAATGTGATTATTGAATGTTTGATGACAGCAGACATTTCGTAATGTCCCGTACCTAGTCTAGTTAGCTCTGCAGCACGTGTTGTTTTAATTTTTCACCCACACGTTTGGTGCGGAACGGATCAGAGAAGGGTTGCCCAACTCTGAGTGCATTTCTGTTATTATCCAACATCGGCCTATGCAGCCGTGGACCGTGTCGTTCCTGTTTTCATGTGAATTTTTCATAATTTGGGCCTTTGTCCCTCTATATAAGCTCAGCATGCTGTGGACAGCGGTCACCAAAATTCCTTTTTCCTTTTTTTATATGAAATCCCTCTAAAAGACGCCGCATCTTGTAACATTCTCAACTGCAAATAATTGGCAAGCTGTAACAAGTTAGTGGTCGGAATTGATATTTGCAATTCGGAGTAGGCGCACATGTAGAAAACTGGAGAGTCTCCGAACCATCCATGTACCGGAATCTGGTGCTGCAGAAAACCATAAGAAGGGCGCCGACAAAGTCGGTTAACCTCAACCCATTTGAGAATGTTTCGTCAAAGCGACTGAACTTACATACCTTAGCGTTGGCGCAAATTAGCGATATATTGAACAATTCTATTATCAACCGGTTTGTGCCAGCGAATTCATCTATCACAACTCACCGACGGAGTCTCTCCCCCACCACAAAACCAGCAACTAATTAGTACTCCTTTACATGGTCACTGTAGTAGTTTTCACGAGGTGCAACCTTTTTCCGTACTTGACGCGTCCATCGCAATTCTTGAAAGGCGTTGATGTCAGTCTTGAGTCTCACGAGGGCATCAGATGGGCATTGAGCACTTTCCCAATTAAGGAAGCGGAACCTGAAACGTTTACAGGTGTCGGCAGCGCACCCCCTGTCGTAAGAGGAATATTGCTTAGTCTCTTTATTGGAGCAGGTATTTTATGTGGTCAGTTCCAAACCGTATACACAACTACAGAGGTTCACCATCTAACTTTAGCTCGTGTCCATACTTCAAATGGAGCATTTCCTTTTCCTCTCTCACACCCTTCACCGGTGGGTACTGCATTCACTCATTGCATCATCTCAACTAAGAAATGTCCTTAAGGATATACCAAAATATTACCAAATTTAGTTCTGTCATACCCATACATATGATTATTATATTCTATTTTCCATATTTCTTACTCTTCTCTATTTGTTCTCTTGCCAGCGATTCGGTGAAAATTGCCCTGAAGACGCGCTACTCTACGATCTGCGCTCATATCGTGCACACATACTACACGAACACAATCGGCGACGCAATTTTGTAGCGCTCGGTGAGTTGCCCGGCTATTATCCAGCTGCACGCATGTCCACCATGGTGTGGGATGAAGAGCTCGCATATCTGGCGTCTTTGAATATAAAAATGTGCTATGTGGAACATGACGACTGCAACAACTCATTCCGTTATCCAAGTGTGGGACAAAATCTCTCCGGTGTCGATCGGCGACACGATCTGCCAGCGAATGTAACGGATATTATAGATATGTCGATGGGTTTATGGTTTGGCGAATATCCACTTATCGATAGCAGTTACATAAGATCATTTCGCGTATCATCGAATTTGTAAGTTTTGCGATAGAGAGAGAAAGAGAGAGAGCATGGGAGATAGAGAGAGAGCAAAAGAGAGAGAGAAAGCATGAGAGAGATAGAGAGAGCATAAGAGAGAGAGGGCATGAGAGAGAGAGTGAGCATGCGAGAGAGAGTGAGCATGAGAAAGAGAGCATGAAAGGGAGAGAACATGAGAGAGAGAGAAAGAAAGAGAGAAAGAGAGAGAGAGTGTGAGAGAGAGTGATAGAGAGCGCATGAGAGAGAGCATGAGAGAGAGAGCATGAGAGAGAGAGAGAGAGAGAGAGAGAGAGAGAGAGAAAGAGAGAGAGAGGGCATGAGAGAGAGAGAGCATGAGAGAGAGAGAAAGAAAGAGAGAAAGAGAGAGCATGAGAGAAAGAGAGAGTGTGAGAGAGAGTGAGAGAGAGCGCATGAGAGAGAGCATGAGAGAGAGAGAGCATGAGAGAGAGAGAAAGAGAGAAAGAGAGAGAGAGGGCATGAGAGAGAGAGCATGAGAGAGAGAGCATGAGAGAGAGAGTGAGAGAGTGAGAGAGAGAGGGAGAGAAATGAGGGGATAATTTAAAAAAATGTGATATAATGAAATTTAATAAAGATATGTATTAATTGTAGTGAAAAATATGGACACTTTGCGGAAATGATGATCGATCGTAATACGCACGTCGGCTGCGCAATGTCCCGTTACACACATCCCATCTACCCCTTCCTCTACATTTACAATACGGCCTGTAATTATGCGAGTAAATATGCGCTGGAAACGCCTATTTATCGTGTAGGCGAACCCGCCTCGGAATGTGAAACCGGTCCGAATCGCGATTATCCAGGCCTCTGTTCGACGCGCGAGAAATTCAATCCAAATTATAATTAATCATTATGCGTTGTGAGCAGAATGAATGCATGAGAAAAAGACTGAAAAGACAAATAAATAAATTAATAAATTGTTGAATTGCTCATTCTTCTTTTTCTTCTTAATTTTTCATTTGAAATTAAAACAAATGCAAATTTATATTTCCGTAAATAAATGAAAGGTGATCGCTCGTAAGGCTCATTTACTGCGAAAAAAGCGTGAAGTGAAGTGAGCTAATGATGAAAGCAAACAAAGAAAAGGTACGAGGAAACGAAATAAAGGCAAATACTTAATGAATATATATATATATATATATATATATGTAGATATATATGTACAATGAAAAGTAAATTAAATCATATTATATATTGTATAATAATAACGTTCACGTTAATTGTTGCTTCCGCTACGTACAACAGAACGCGGGCTGAACTGTATAATTTAATAATTTCATTTGCATATGAAAAATCACTCATACGCCCGTGCAGCTGAGTCGTTGTAATACGACCCTGTAGGGAAAATTTACCTTAATTGGGATTTTGAGTTTATTTTTTTAACATTTATTATGATGAACTTAAGATACCTTTTTTGGCATGAATGTATCGTAAATTCAGTTTCCTCTCACTTTTCATGGCCTTATGACCCAGTTTCTCGATTGATTCGTGTTGCATAACCGATAAAGTATTTATGGCGCGAAAGTGAAATGTTGCAAAATTCGGTTATAATTAGTTTGATATAAATATTCAACTGGAATTCAATGCAGAAAACTGAATTCGAAATTATGTGAACAAAAATGTCGGTCATTCTGCGCGGCAGTAGAGATTTTTAGTTGGTTCCGGCGAATGAAAATTCCTTTAAAAATAAATTAAATTTGAGGGTGGTATGGGCGCTATGTGATATAGTCCGTTTTCGATGATTTTTGGTGACCGCTGAAGCGTTTTTCGGCCGAGCTCCGAGCTCCTCCTCCAGTTTTTGGTATGCGTCTTGCTGTTTTCCAACAAAAGGAGGCATCTAAGTCGCCTCCGAAAGCCCGATGGATTTTTTGTGAGGAGCTTTTGTTTCTGGAATCTGCGGAACCACTTAGAAATAGTCTTCAAAGACGATACAATCATTCTATATGCAATTTGGCATTCACTAAATATTTGTATTGGCTTCAAATTACGCCGAAACCCGAAGAAAAGCGAATTTCAGTTTCCGTTAGTGGTGGAATTTCGTCTGACCTATCCTCAGTTGTCTTGCGCTTCTCATCTCAATTTACGCCGGTAGCTCTAAAATTTGAAAGAAAGACTAATAAAGTAATTGCAAATGATTTTGAAATGGTTTTTAGATTTAACAAAAACAAGTTGAATGTCCGCAACTGAATTGGATTTTAGCCGCCTCTTACGACAGGCAGTAAGGCATCCGCTTGTAATTTCTTGAACCCCTAACACGCATGGGGGAATGTTTGTTAATCCCCTGGTATGCTTATAAAGTCAGCTTGTACGGACGGAATTCTATTTTGGGGTTCAGCATCAAAAATCTAGCCTAGATTGAATTCAACAAATATAGTGTATAACCTTAAGAGCATATTACAGGGCTCCGTGGGACGGAAAAAACACAAACTTCGTAACAAAAGAGGCGGTAAAACTGCATAGAAATTATTCTTGAAGGTTATCTAACCGTCCAAGCTCTCCAGCTAAGTTACCACAAATTAAAGAGAAAGGAAAAAGGACATAAGTTTGAACTGTAATTAATGGCTCCGCCGGATTTGATTGTAAATACTACATGACAGATATTTTCCTTTTATACCCTACAAGATATTTATTATAATTTTCTTAACCATTTCGTAGTTTCAAAATTACAGGGCTGTATTTTGACATCTGTCAAACTTAATTGTCAAACTAAAATTTTTTTACTTTATTCAAAATCAGGTATTTATGAAAATGGATCGCCTAACAACCGCACGACACCTTAAAATTGTTGAAACCTACTTCAAAATGGTGATCTAAAAGCCTCTTAAGAGGAGATTATCGTCCCACTACTCGAGTTATTGGTAAAACTTTAAAAATACTGGATCTGTTACAGATATTGTAAGGCCTGTCCATCATCGTTTTGCTTATGCCACCTCAAGTACCGCTACTATAAGTGAAAGTGTAGCCGAAGACCCGAATGTGTCTGTTTCGCGGCATTCTCATCAGTTGGGACTTTCTGAAGGTTCATTATGTGTGGCGTATTTTGCACATAGCTTTACACTAACATCTATATAAAGTCCAGTTCACACAATAAGCGAAACCAGCTGACCACTCACAATGCTTGAACAACAGACAATAGACGTCCCATTTCTCACTCGGGAGATGTAAAAATAAGCAATATTGTCAACTCCAAGGGCTCCAAGGGCTCCAAGAACCCTCGAATAGTTGATACATTACACTAAAAAAAAAACTTACTATCTTGTGCACTCTTCAGTTTGGAGGTGTGATTGCCGCTTACTGATTTGAGAACAATAACGGCGAGACTGTTACTCTCAATTCGGAGCGTTATGGTCATAAGATAATCGACTTTTTTTGGCCTGCAAGTGAAGAGCACAACTTGGACAATTTGTGGTTACAACAACTTGATGTCACATGCCACGCAATCCGAGCGCATATAGTTTTATGCCGTGAGAAATTTCCTGGAAGATATAATTGTAGTATTTCACATATAATGCAATGGTTCAAACTTTATAATAAAAAAGAGTTGTCATGAAAAGAAAATTAAGTTAAATTCATCTTATTTTAGGTTTATTTTCGACACCGAAAAATGGGTTAGGTGAGCTTGTGTTAAGCACGCTTACCAATTAGGTCTCACGTCGACGAAATGCATCCTTAGTGTTGAAAGGCACACTACATGTGACCGAGGTGGACTGGTACACTCCTATTGTGTCTATAGTGTGAAGAACATTACGGTTCCTTTCTTTATTTCAAGTAGTCGTTCTGGCATTTTGGCCATTGGCCAGATCCTTTATCCTTTCTGCGCCACGTAAGCATAGCCCTTCTCTATCGAATGCCGTACATTCACAGATTATGAGCACCACTCTCTCCCCACATTCCCTGTATTTAAAACATGTGTTGCCCAGGTCAGACCTATGTATATTAATGCATCGTCCTGTTAACAGTCCTATCCACAGTCCGGACAGCGGACTTTATGAGTTTAGTATTGTATGTTTTGTATATAGTCTTCGTGATTCCCACAAAATTGGTAATTGTGTAGTAAAAAGAAATCCATTAGTTTCCCCATAGATGGCGTTCTTTATCTATATTTGTATAAGTCCAAACGGGTTCTGCTAGATGGTGTTAGAAAGACAACATTTCATACTTAAAATAACTTTGCAAATCGATACAATGGTTAATTTCTATTACGTATTGTAGGAGGGTTGCCTTTCGCAATTCGCTTTATTGTTTGTCAAAATGTTCTCCTTAAGATCCAGTTGGTTTTGTATGCGGTTAACCTAACTCTGTTTGAGGTATCTTCAAAAAACAAGCGTTCTGAACTCATCAGCCGATTCTACAGGCGTCGGAAAACGTTGACCTCTCAATTTTTATTTTACGTGCTAGAATGAGAAGAAGTCATTCGGTGCCGAGACAGGACTACACGCTGGGTGACTCACCAAAACGATGTTATTGGATAGGTGAGAGTTTGCATTGTCGTGGGAAAGATTGATCCGTCTTCGAGGGTCGGTTTCTTGATTTCTTGAATGACAACTGGCAAATAATAAATGCACATAGAATTTACTTTTCTGGTTCTCTTGAAAAGTCAAAATGAGCCATCTTTTGAGCGATTGACAAATTCGGCGATAGCCGAGTGGTTAGCATTGCGTACTGACATTTGGAAGCCGACCAACATCCACATGTTAATTAATGAAAATTAATTAAAATAATAAATTAAGCTAAATTTTCTAATTGCGGTCGGCCCTCGGCAGGGAATGTCAACCCCTCCGAGTGTATTTCTGACATGAAATAAAGCTCCTAATAAAAATCGTCAGCCTTTCGGAGGCGGCTTAGTATAAACTGTAGGTACCTCGAATTTTTGGAAAAACATCAAGAGGCAAAACCACAAATTGAAAGAGGAGCTCGGCCGAAAATCGCTTCAACGGTTACAAAGCGCCAATTATATATTATGGGTCACATGATGATCTTACAATGTCAGTTTGCGCACAGCATTAATAGATGCCGGAACCACAGTTAATTTTACGAAATTCATTTTGGCGTGATCTACGACCTTGAATGAAGTCGGCATACAAACGATAAACACCGGTGCCCGATGGAGCTTCATCGCCAGAAATATAATTAAGTTCAACGCTGCACTGTTGCTGAGTTAAGTCACGTTGAAAGTTGTTAAAAATAATATATAATTCCAGTGTTGCCAAATACCGAAATGTAAGAAAAAATTTCTGGAAAGAAAGATTCAATAAATTTTTTTTTTTGAAAAATTAAAAAAAATTGTAGACGAGTTTCTTGCAGGGTCTACTCGCTGCATGTAATATATATATACGTACATATGTTTGTACAAGTAAATGCCATGAAACAGCTGTTGATTAACTAACTGTCATTCGCACGTTCGCTCCTCACATGTGATTGACCATTTGCGGTGATACTTATTGCCTTTCACGATATTAAATTAATAACATCACTTAAAAATACAGTTAAAAATAAATACATATATGTATGCAGGCAAGTATGTGAGCGCTTAAGTTTGAGATGAATTGAAAATAATTAATTTACGCCACACTTTACACATGAGATTAAATGAAATATTTTTCAACTAATGATTCTTTGGAGTTTCGAGAGGGAGAGACGTTGCTAAGGAAGGTTTTGAGTTAGTCACAGGCTCAGCTTACATACATATATGGGCAGTTAGTTGTGTATTTGTGCTTAATTAGTTAATTACGCATTTTTTCATTCATCTTTAATTCTTATATATTTTCTTATAATTTCGCTTTGATTCATTATGTGTGAAAAAAGTATTTGTCATTGTGTGTGTGTGTGTGTGTGTGTGTGTGTGTCGGCAAGTAGCATCGCAATTTCGGGAATTTAAAATCGTGCGCACTGAGTGAAATCGTGTAGGATAATTAATTATTTTATTTTATTGCTTTACCATACCATATTCGTACACATTTAATTACTAACTGAAAAGTGTTGTGATTGATGAAGCATTAAAATTAAAAAAAAAAATTCGTATTATTTTGGATATTACAAAATAATTAAAATATTTGAAGATTCAGATTACAAAAAATATCTAGTCTAGTAAAAGGTAATCCATTGTTTTTGCCTTAAATTGTCTGACTTAAGTCAAATATGCACCGATTAGCTCGATACCTTTTTAACATTTCAAAGTAATATTTTTATGTCTGCCTCCAGGAACTCTTGCCGCAAACGGCAAAAAAATGGTGCAATTATTTTTCACAGGCTTCTCTTGAGGTCAATTCTTCAACAGCTAAATCGTGCATATATGTTTATTACCCGTTGAACCTTTCCCCCAAGCTCTCGGAACTTCTGGTGAGTCTCTTTCATTGTGTATAATCTGGCGTTGTTCTGATGAAACACAATTCCTCTTCTGTCGGTCAAAGTTGGGTGGTTCGTAGCGATTGCTTTCTTCAGACGGTCCAATTGCAAACAAAAAAGGTCTGAATTAAAAGTTTGGTCGTAGGATTGCAGCTCATAATGGCTGATTCCTTGACAATCCCCCCAAATCACACAACAAAACCTTCCTGGCCATCAATTCTGGCTTCGAGACGATTTGTGTCGTCTCACTGTTCTTCAACCACGACCGATTTGATTTGAGGTAACTCTAAGACGTTCATTTCTTATCACAGATCACCATCCGCTTCAGAAGAGGTTCGATTTGTTGCGTTTTAGTAGCGATAAGCAGATGGATATTAGAGGTTTTTTCTCGTTAACTCATGTGGCACCCATACATCAAGCTTCTCTTTGTATCCAGCCTTTCTCAAATAGTTCCAAACTTTTTTCTGTTTAATGTTTAGCTTCTGGGCAAGCATGGCTCTGGCTCGCATGACGGTCAGATACGACGATTTCCATTATGTTATAGACATTTTTGGACAATTGGCCTTCTACAGCGTGGCTCGTGTTTTACATCAAAATTATCGCTTTGGTTCTTATCAATCCGGATCACATGACCTCGCCAGTGCCAGTGCACTTGGTGCACTTGTAGAGTTTGGTCTTTGTTCGTCGAGACTTTACTTTTCGATTGTCTACTCAGTCCATAGTAGCACCTGTCGGCAAGAGTAATGCAGAGTTGGATTTCCAGGTTGATTTTAGGTTTACATTCTCTGGCATGATGCTTATGAACAGAATGATATCTTCAGCTCTTTTGTCATTTTTCGATATAGGTAACAATAACTTGGGCGCCAGCTCTAGGTTGTCGGTTGGGTGCTTAAAGCTCACCTTTTGCAGGGCAGCCAACGAAAGCCGGCTCTTTGTGGATGAGCACCTTGTGGTGCAAGAGCTGCGCATCTTTCATCAGGTTCTATGTGTTGTTGTTTTAGCCGAGGAGTGGGCATTCTCAGGCATCATTTTGCGTTGATCTTAGCCATGCCAAAATCGTGCAGGATTTTAAAAATGGTTGTATTGGATACTCCAACTATTTCTGCGAGTTATTTCCCCAAACGCAATTTCAAATTTAAATAGCAGTTTTTCACTTTCTCTTCGAACCCCTGGTGAGGAAATTATGTAGTTTCACTGAGATCACTAAGAACTTAGTGCATCACCTCATTTGGATACAATTTAATCCTGGGAGGCTGCATTCCTGGACCAATACCAAATCTGGCTCTGCTCCCGGATGATTTTTTAGAGCCTTAACAAAAATTTGTTTTATTTTTTGTTATTTCTGTTGACTCCGAGCTCAACAGATTATTATATTGAATATTTTAAGGAAGCATCAATCTAAAATAGCAAGTCTTTTTCTCCCAGTAAACTTGACTTGTTGAAAATGAAGATAAGTGAAAATCGTCCCGTGCGAATGAGAATTCCCTGAAGCCAACTGAAGCCTTTTGGGGTCTCTATGATTAAAAAAGTAAATCAGAAACAGCTTTTCAATTTGGGCTTTAACTAGACGTAATCAAATGAAAGTCCGTGCTTAAAAGAATGATTTTGAAATGGATAAAAGATATCCGCCATGACACCATACTCTTATTAGGGATGAACCATATAAGAATGTGAGTTAAAGGATGGTCCCTGTCTCTATTAGCACTGTATACACTCATACTTTAATAACACCTTCTAGTCTCCTGGATAAGAAAGCAAAGGATATGGATCTGGTGAACAATGGTAAGACGAAATATCTCCTGCCATCGAACACACAGTCATCGCCTTTGCGACTCGGCTCATAACTTTGATGGCAGCCTGGAAGTCCTCTCTCGACGAACGAAGAGTAATTTATGGTCCCCAACGGTTTGTGAACAGCAAGTACCGCAGCCAAAGGTACTATGAGCTATACGAGATATATGGCGACATTGACATAGTTTAACGAATCAAGAAAAAGTTGGTCCAGATGGATAAGAATACTTCAGTTTTGTAGTACCCGCGTGCAGAAGCAGAGGTAGAAAAAGACTTCCACTCCTTTGGAAAGATTTAGTAGAAAGGAACCAGACACTTCGTCTATCTTGGATCCAGTTATAACACCAACAAGAAACATTTGGTCCAGATGGATAAGAATACTTCAGCTTTGTAGTACCCTCGAGCGGAAGCAGAAGTAGAGAAAGACTTTTAATCTGTTGGAAAGACTTGCTGAAAAGGGACCTGGCTGTACTAACATAAGAGTTCCCACTCTACAAATACCCAGACAATAGACGTTTCAAACTATTTGAATTACTTAAATCTTTATAATTTACTAATATATAGAGCACTTTAGTTAATGCAGTCTTTACGAGAACTAATCCTTTGAGAACATCATACTCAATGTTTTATGAGTACTTATATTAATCTCTGGAGCCTTACATAGATAATGTCTTTCAGAGGACTTGGCACAATAAAGGCACTAATGATAACATATCACCCCTGGCAAGATGTTTAATGGGTCATCGGTTAAATTTTGAAAGAAGTGGAAATCAATCGGGAAGCTTCAATATACTCAGATCAGATTAGCGTCTATCACGATATCACAATGTTGACCCGATCATTAAGGTCTACAATTAAGCTATCCAGACACTTCGATTACTTACTCCGACGTTATCTAAATATCTTAAGAGACTCATTTAAGAAGGAATCTTTTCGCAAACGAAACTCAGCTCAACCCAAGTGAGGGCAATCGTACAATATATAAGATGATGAATCCTTTCCAATATACATTATACCTGGGATATCTGGGCCTTTAACGGAGAAGAGGCCACTATCCGAATGGCCACTATCATAACGTCTCCCGGTTCATCCCAGTGAATGAACAATTAGCTACATAACTCATGCGCACTCCTCGGCGTAAGAGAAGTGACATTCTGTAAAAGAGATATAAGCCCGTTGCCCAACCATCAGAGGTTTAAACACAGAGTTTGGACACGAACGCACATTTAATCTCCCAGTGCTCAATTCAGTTTCCACAAGGCCACTTGGCCGTCCGATGATCAACGAACACCCAGCCAAATTGATCACATTGAAATCGGCGGAAGGTATACTTCAAGCAAATCGAACGTTCGTAAGCTTGGATGAGTCAACGTGATAAGGGCGGCGCAACGCGCAAACGACTCCGTAGAGCTAAAAAACGAACCAAATGGTAACAAGAAAGGCAAGGAAATAACAAACTCGTGAGGGAATAAATGATGTTCGAAACTTCTACAAACCATTCAACTGTGTCACCCAACGTCAAGCACGGAGCATAAAATTACCGAGATGAAAATGGTGTCATGGTTACAGACACGTGGTCCGGACTGAGATTAAGTAGCGATCATTTCTTTGCGTTGTTTGCAGGCGGTAACTTTACCGAACTCATACCTGGAGGAAGCAGCCCAAAGACGACTATGGGGCAGACATTGCATCATCTAGAAATGGCAAGGTACGTGTCTTAATTAGGCGACTGAAGCTGATGAACAGTAAAGCAGCCGGCACACTAGTTACAGAATTTTTCGAAGCTGCCGATGTCGAGCTAATAGAGTTCCTCTTTGAAATATGGATTGCGGCGGACATGTTCGCTGCTCGGAGTCCCAATAGTCTTTGTTCTGTACTGAAGGCGGCTGACCCGTCAAAACACGAGAGATCAACACCGCTCACAAACACACTGATTATTCCTCATCAGAGCGGCTCTAGACCTAGTAAGTCCACTGTCGACTTGATCTAGAGAGAGACCCTCGAAATACAAATGGACACTCACCATTTCTTCGTCGATTCAAAATCTGATATCGATAGTCCCATAAGGAGCCTTTTAAGTAACTACTAGTATCAAAAATTAACAACAACTACAAGTAGTTTCAGTCTTTATTTCTCTAGAAAACTCCTATTTTTCTTTTAATATAGTCTTATTCATAGTTTGGATTGTATTTCTCTTTGGTTGAGCATAAACCAGGATAATAACGATTTGTGCCAGTACGGCATTCCGAAGCTGGCTCTCCAATACTATAAACTGGCACACCGATGGCATATTTACTGGCATAATTACAAGCCATATTGTAGATGTGGAAAAAGGGAAACTGCGGGTTGGTATAACGAATCATGGCACAGCCGACGTGAGTATTACGATCGACGACGAACTCCGCAAAATGACCATATTTTTCACTACAGCGAAAAAACGAGAAATTATGAAGAAATAATTAAAACAAAAACCAACATTTAATACGTACAAATTCCACGAGACACGGAACTTCGATATATAACTGCTGTCGATCAAAGGATATTCGCCAAACCACAAGCCCATCGAACGGCTGATCACTTCACTAATGCTGACGCCCACCCTTTGATAGGCGACGCCCGAGAGATTTTGCCCAACACTCTTAAAACGTGGCGTATTATTGCATTCGTCATGCTCCACATAGCACAGTTTCATATTGAGCGCAGCGAGGAAAGCCAATTCCTCATCCCACACCATGGTGGCCATGCGCGAGGCAGGATAATAACCAGGCAACTCGCCGAGTGCGACGAAATTGCGTCGCTTATTGTGCTCGTGTAGAATTTCATTTTTATACGAGCGCAAATCAATCATAACGGAATCCTGCGGACAGGCATCGGTGAAACGCTGTGGAAAGATAACGTTTTTAAAAATTAGTTAATGTTTAACAATTTTATTTTTAAATTACAAATTTTACAAATAGGAAGGAGTGGGAGATTGATTGTAGTTACTTGGATATTTTAGAAACTAGCTTCAATGAAAAACAAGCAAAACGCCTCGCTTGAGAGACCCACCTTTGTATGGTCTCTTAATTGAAAAGGTGCCGTGGCACAGCTGCCTGGTGTTTTTATAAAAGTTTAGTCTGATGTCACCGCCGTTCAAAAGATGCAATGAACCAATGACGGAAGTGGCTGGGTCTTGTGGGAAATCTACTCCAGAATCCACTTAAAAGAGCGCGAGAGAGGTTGCGTCGGCGGGTACTGACATTTACTACGGGGAATAATCAAAGCAAAGTCGTTCAGTATATCCCTGTTCTATGCCTATGCTCTGAAGACAGATAAGGACAATGTGACTAAGACGCTTCCTATGACTGTCTAGAATGCCCCTATGAGAGCAGGCCTTATCCAATGTCAAAATTGTGCTTTGCGGCTTTAACGTCAGGGTAGGCAATGAAGTTAATTCAGCACGTCTGTCGGAAAATATAACCGCCTCCATGATGAAACACCTCGGGCCAGGGGCCCAAATATAGTTGTCTGTAGCTCTAGATTCCATCAGAAGAAAATGTATGAAGCTACTCAGTAGTCTCCGAATAACTCACAACTATTTATACCGATTATGTTATGGTAGATGGAAGGCAGGCCTCCGGTGTTCTGTGTTTGCCTACGTTGGGGAACCTATCTTCAAAAAACACTTCTGAGAGCTTTCATTAGAGACGCGATATCCGTATTGTAGAACGGTATTTCAAACTCTCTACCTACCGCCGTTACGCAAACAACTGGGTTTCAGCAATGTCGGGAAAATAACTACAGTGAGGAATGTCGACATGAAGTGAAGATAAAACAAACCGCCTTCCTCGTAACCTTGCGATCGATCACAACACGTGTGGGCTGGGATATATATCGAAGACTAAAGAAGAAAGCCAGAAGCAGTATGAAAAATACCGAAATACGTGAGTATGAAGAGTTTGAGAAGCTGGCCGACAGCGGTAGTGCTTACAATTTCTAGGAGAATATGCAATGACTTACAGGAGGTTCCAGACCGGGGCAAACTCTTGCAGGACACAGAGAAATGATCCCGCGAGAAATGCTCATAGTATAATGAATGTCTCCAGTCTGCTGGATGGCAATGAAAATGAAACACCAGTATCGATCACCCAATCGATGACGCCCCAACAGACACTCCATTACCCGACTGTGAAGAAGCTCGTATAAAAATTGCCCCTTCGTTTGATCTGCCCAATCCAGTAGACCCCAGCATCTGCAATAATTATTGCGGAATAAGCATCCTCAATGAAAGCCGACAAATTATAGTCCAGATATTCACTAAACACCAAATCATGGAAAGGTCCCACGAGAAAATGATTGACATGTAACAACTGCTTTCGATATGACGATAAGGCCTCACTACTCTTCCCAAGAGCCTGTGGTAGACGAAGACAAGACAAGATCTCCTGTCACCAGACAAAACAGTCAACGCAGTCATTTCTTTCATTTCATAAGGCGCTTTCTCGACGAGCAAAGACCAAACTCTATCATTCATTCATCATTTATGTACTGCTATATGATGAAAAAGCATAGTAAATGGCTATATTCAATGAGGCGACTTGAGAAGTCTTCGAGATAGAAGTTTTTCGAAAGACTTTTGGTACTTTGCGCATTGGAAATGGCGAATATCGTAGACGATAGAGAGATTAGTAGTACAAGATATATGGCCAGACAGCGGCTTCGTTGGTCCGGACATGCCGCCCGGAGCATTCCAGCTTTTAAAGAAGTACACGCCGTTGGAAGCAGACCCAGAGATAGGAAGACTCTTTTGGTAGGATCAGGTGAAGAAAGGCCTGACTTCATTTTATTTTAATTTTCTCTTTTCTTTATTCGCTTACCCCATTGTTTCCACAAGCCAAATGCTGCTTTCCATTTGGGCACAGTTCTGGATCGCACCACGATGATTTGCTAGATGATATTTCCGACACGAATGCGGAGAGACCCAAAAGCAGTAAAAAGTTGACCGAGTGAAGTTTTGAGTTCATTTCTTTTTACGCAAAATTATAAATATTAAAAACAAAAAATAATAATTTAAAATAACGGTAAATGTAGGTTGTTGTGCGAACTCCTGTGCGCAATGTGATCAAATGGCTTGGCCTTGAAATTCGCTTCTTCTTTTATACGCAGAATGCTGAGCGTGAAAATTTCTCTCCGCCAAAACGCTTTTAATTGTCATAAGCAAATTCTTTCCGTACTTTAAAATGCAAAAAGTTGCTAAATATGGCGCTGCATGGTAATTAAGAAAGCGAAAACAGCAACAACAATAATTATAAAAAAAAAATACTGACAGCATTTGGAAGATGACGAAGCATGCAACGAAGGCAAAAGCGTCATAAACGAAGAGAATTCTGGTAACGAGTAACAGTAAATGCGGTGACAGGTGCGCGAGAGTTGCTGAAACGGGTGTATAATTTTGAAGGAGTGAGTTGGTTGGTTGTATAATATCAAAGTCTACACGCGCGTATTTTCAAATTTATTACTAAATTTTTTTTTATGAATTTAAACCCAAAAGTATACATGTGTGTGTATGTACAGTGTGTCAATTAATTGTTTGCCAAATGAAAAAATCAAATGAACTTATTTTTCGACTTGATTTTCATTAAGTACAAAAATTTTCTTTAAATTCTTTTTTTTTTTAAATAATATTAGTCTCAGTAATCTTAACATAAATAATTCTAGACGTAAAAGTAAAAGAGATATAAAAATTCAAAAGACAGCAAATATTGGTCAAGTAAAAAGTTCGTTCGGTTTTTAATTGCTTTTTCAAAATATGATAACTTTGCCTATTTGTTCGAATTAAATCAATTATACGCCATTTTCTTCGTAAATTTGTTGTCAATGAGATGCCAACTTCAGTTTACCCATCTCTTGGAAAGATGCGTACCTATTGGCAAAAAACTCGGAGAGCCAAATTAAACAGGCCTCTCTTAAGGCCAATTTCTCACCATTAAGCGCATTCGCCATGGACAGGTAAAGATGGTAATCACTTGGTGCCAGGTCCGGACTATAAAGTGGGTATATTAGGACCTCCAATCCGAGCTCCTGGAGCTTCTGACGCGTCACCAAAGACGTGTGTGGCCTGACGTTGTCCTGATGGAACACAATTCGGCCTCTGTTGATCCAATATGGCATCTTCTAAATGAGCGCTGCCTTCAAGCGGTCTGTTTGTTGGGAGTAGAGGGCCGAATTGAGCGTGACCATAGGAGAGCAGGTCGTAGTAATCCGTCAATCCGGTCTTGGTCACCGTTTAGGCCACTTCCCGAGCATTGACAGCGACCGTTTGCGCTTGATGTTGTCGTAAGGGTCCCATTTTTCATCGCCAGTCACAATCCACTTCAGAAACGGGTCGATTTTTTTGCGATTCAGCAGCGTTTCGCAGATGGAAATTCGGTCCATCAAGTTTTTTTTTTTGCGTTAATTCGTGTTTCAGCCAAACATCGAGCTTCTTTTTGAATCCAAGGTTATGCAATGGTTTCAAACGGTTTTCTGGTTTATCTTTAGTTCCTCAGCAATTAAAGAAGTGCTCACGTGACGGTCTGTTTCCACTAATTTCATGATTTTATCGCAGTTTTCGACGACAGGCCTACCGACGCGTGGTGCATCTTTGACATGGAAATTACCAGAACGGAACCTAGCAAACCATTTTTGTGCTCCACGTTCGTTTACAGTATCGGGCCCATAAACTAAATTAATTTTTTCAGCCGCTTTGGCTGCTTTTTCGCCTTGATCGAAGAAAAGTTGTAAAATTTAGCGAATTTTCTCTTTGCTGGTGTCCATTTTTGACGAGCGCTCACAACGTACTGAGTCAATCAATCGAAAAACTGTCAAACTTTTAGCGCGAATAAACACGTTTCCAGCGTCGTATAGTATGACTTGATGCATACGCACGTAACACTAGTACTATGGACAATAACGGCATCTCTTAGATAAAAACCGAACGAATGAAGATGACGGGGCATGGACTGAATAAGGTTGTTTAAGTCAACATTTTTTAGGTATTTTGTTCCACTCTGCCCGAATGACCTTAATAAGAGCGTTTTTATTAATTGCCCACTTGGTTTTTTAAAAAAGTCCATAAATTTTCTATGGGCCTTAAGTCAGGACTCTGGACAGAAGTGTCAATCACTTTACTGCATTTATATAGTAGCCACGGTAGTTAAAATAAACTAACTAAAGTTCACTCGTTTCAAATTTGTGGTACCGTTAAGTGATCTACGTTCTATTTTGAATTGTATGGGCATTTTGCAAAGAATTAAGGGGCACACCTAGTGTAATGACCCAAGAAAAGGTGATTTTTTGGGAATTTTTATTAAAAATATACTTAATCAATTATTTCAAAATTTTAAGAATATATTTATACATGTTTCGAGAATATACAGTGAAATTTTTGCAGAAAAAAACGGCGCGAAAAAAAGGACCTTCACTGCTGCAGTGATTCCGGCCTTATCCGTGGATGAAAGCTACAATAAAAAAAAAAAATTCTCTACTAGGTAATATTGTCTGTACAATGACCTACGTTAGAAAAATCAAAAATTGACAATATGGCGACGTTTTAAAAAAAAAAGTCGAATTTTGCCCAAAATTTTGGTCGTTTTTGGCCTGCAAAAATTCGATTTTTTGATTAGATCAAAAATCTATAGGTCATTGAACGGAGAACTATATATAGAACATGTAAAAAGAAAATTCGGTAGTAATCGGATCATTTGTTTTTGAGTAATCACTGCAGCAAATTCGTAAAATGTTGTTTCGAGAAAAACGAGTTTAAAGATAAAATGATCGTTTTCACTCGTAGCTAGTGAGACTCTCTAGCTGCCGAGGGGCTGCTCTTTAAATTGCTATAACTCAAAAACTATTTGAGATATCTATTTAAAATTTTAATATGCTATTTTTAAAGGTGTAATATACCGAGATATGAAAAATAGATTGATTTTGTTTTGAAATTTCACACTAGGTGTGCTCCTTAATTGACAACGCAAAATTTGGCGAATTTAAATTTGCCATTTTTTACCATCCGTTGTTAATGTTTGTTTATATAATATTAACAATACCGATTAATAAAAAAGGGAAAATAAAATATTTTCATTTACTTAAAAAATTAAATTTGAAATGAAATTTTTGTGATTTTTTCATTTTGCATACAATTAATTGGCATACTGTATGTATTTCTTTGAAAATATTCGTTTGTAAAGCGTGAGAATTTTGAAACGCAATTAAATTGAAAATTACGAGCTCACACTTTCTTTGTTTTCGTGAAGTGAATTCAATTTTAATTAAATTAAATATTAATGTTGACTTGCCTTTGGAGTCAGATATTGTGTATTAAGGTAATGCTAAAGCAAGAGAGAAGAGCTGTTTTTGTACCCCTAATGTTTTCATGACCATTTCAAATTTATAGTATTTCATTTTCGGATTAAATAATAATTATCATATCTGAACAAATCGGTATTATGGGGGCTATAAGTTATATATATTTAGTCTTTCGATTTCGATAATTTTCTGATACTTTTTGGACAGAGTTCTCTTAAAATCTGATATCTGAGCAAATCGGTTGTAAAGGGGCTATCTGATATAGTTTTCCCACTTCGATAATCCTTTTGTTTGTTTTTTTATGACGAATCCAGTGTTACCTCAAGGACGGAGGGACGCGTTAGAGGGATAATCGAAAAATCCAACAGACCGGTGACCGAAAACCAGTAACAGTCTGGACTGCCCTGAACTCGAAACTGATCGCGGAAGGTCGCGGTTACACTTGCCTCTTACATTAAACAGCTACTGACTTGTTCATCAGCTAGTATAAAATAACATTGGGAAAAGGAGAGGGGACTTACTTAACTATTTAAAGCACTCAGTAAGTAGATTTTGATACAGAAAAGCGAGTCAGAGGAATTAATGTTGGTGAAATAGGTATAAAAATCGTTACACAAAGATCTAAAAGGGTCGTACATTTCACAATGTGAGGAGCCTATTTTGTCTAGTTGATCAAAAAGGGATGGTAAAATTGAGCTCACTAAGTAGGAATGGGTTATCACCTATTACCAATGTGGTTAAAAATAAAATTTCAATCATCTTTCTACGACTTTGGAGTTTAGGCAGATTAATGAGCCGTAGATGAATCGCATCCCAGTTTAAATTTCTTAGCGCGAACAGCAGGAAGTGCTTTTGCACAGATTCACATTTATCACTATTCAATCTATACACCTGAGCCATCTTCCAAAATGGGCCTAACTAGTGTAACGAATTTCTGAGAGAGTGGAATTTTCACTGAAAAAATATTTATCTATTCAAAATGCCGACTTTGGACGGTCTCATCACTTCAAATTGGAAGGATTGTTACTGCATTTCTCTTTATTGCAGCTGACTCAAGATGGTTAAACGAGATCTTGTGCTACGTGACGTGAGCTATAACAAAAGTTGGACGCGAAAAGATCAAAACATCTTAACCTTCTTGGCCGGTTCTCCATTAACAAAACAGCTGACATAATAACTGAACACTGTTTAATGGGACTTCACGGGGAGAGAATGGGCTATTACTACACGGTTTTATGCGGCAGCTGTAGGGACGAAGAAGTTGAAGAGACTATCGAGCACTACCTCTGCCACTATACACCTTGATATCTGCGCGACACTAGTTTCTTAGCAAAAACACTTATTAGACTGTCTCGATGAGTTGGCCCCAGAGAATATTGGAAGCTTCGTTGACTTCTTAAAGCACACGAAATGGTTCGTGCATTTGCATTTGAGAAGGTGAAGAGGCAGGAGCCTCAACGTAACCACTATAGCCCAACAGCCACATAAACTCAACTCAACTCAAAGGCTGACTCATCAGTTGTTGTCATCGTCTAGTCCTCCACACCATTTAGCAGAACGGGAATGTTGAGGCACTTGTAGAGTTTGGAATTTTTTTGTTGAGAAAAGACTGTACTTTTTACTTGCCTACTGAGCGATCCTAAAACCGAAAAACAAAATCAATTTGACAGGAGGTTTA